AACAAATGTGTGCAAAAGAGGGACTAATTTCCCCCTAGCCAAAAGTCGGGTTTATTTTTTTCTATATGCACATGGTTAAAATTGGTTTGGTGTGGTTGATGGAACTGTGAGAGTGTGATGTACAGCATTTCCAGGGCTTTGGGAGTGAGGAGTCCTCCATTCTGTAACCAAATCTGTCATAACTGCTGATGAGTTTCATCAGCACCCACTTTCTCTGAACGCAAGAATTATGGTTCATCAGTGTTGATTGCATTTTAACTGGAAAACAATAATCAGTTGATAGGAATCTTCTCTCGCTTCAACTGACGGCATTTGAAAGCATAAGCAGCCGCAGTAAAACAAATGAAATCAGCAAGTAAGACCTTCAGTCTGAAAGTGCGTTTTATCTCACTGTAGTCAAAGTTGCTCTTGGAGCCCCAAGTACTTCATGAACATCACTGCAAGGCCATGTGCTCTGCAAAAATTTATCTTCAAGCTGAGGAGCACGTGTGGTGATTTCTATCAGTTTTTGGTACAAAACCACCCCAGCAGCCTGTGAAACCCCAGTGTCGGATGTTTCCCAAGTTGAATGACTTCTTGGAAGTTCAGCTTGTGCCTTTGACCTGCTGGAAAGCTTTTTGCTGAAGCTCTGTACCAGATGCTCAGGACACTGTTCAGAGCACTCTAGGCTGGCGTGGCTCTCTGGGAACTCGCTGCACAGTGAATAACCTGTTACCTCGTGGAATTGGCCACGGATGGGCGGGTAGCTCTGGGCAGGTGGCTCTCGTGTGTCCCCCCGTGGCTCTTGTCAGCCCCTGAGGTGGAGCTCAACCCAGCCATGCCTGTTGTGGGCAGGGTGGTTCCTGGTGGTTGCTTTGTGTGTGTGCGTGAGCCATCGCTCTGTACAAACCCTTCCTGTATCGGCTCGTTCAGTGCAGAAGGGGCTGTTTTTAAACGAGAATTGAATAAGCAGTGTAAGCAACGTGTCACATTGTACATACAGGAGTGTGGGTAGGCTGCAGATGTCACAACAAAGACCACAGACAGCTGTGTCTGTGTGCTGGGGAAGCGATGGGAATGAAAGGTCTTCTTTCAAAGAACTGCCCTTGTTCCTTTTTTCTATTTTTTTTCACCCATCCCTCTCCCTTCTCTGTTTTAAAAGCCAGAGCTGAGAGAATTGTTTCCCGGCGTTTACTCTTTCTCTTCTCGGGAAGGAATAAGATGGTCCCTCATGAGTGAATTCTTCATACTGATTTTGGAGCGGCATGGGTTAGTTTCTCTGGGGGCAGCAGGACAGTTCTGGTGTACGCTGGCAGTATTCAGGAACCAAAAAGGACCATGTGCATTTTGAGAACGAATGGGAAAGGGAAAATTACATTTTAAGAAAAAAAAAAAAAAAGGGTTAAATGTAGTCAGTAGAAGAAGGAAGATGATTAGAACCTGAATGCTGTTCATAGATTTGTTCCATGAAAGGCAGGTTCTTGGAAACAAAAAATGACAGTGGAGAACAAAGCTTTTACTGCAGCTGCTGTTTACAAGAAGTGTTACCACCCCAGTGCTTTTCCTAAGGGCTTTGAGGTACTTCTGGAAACGCAGAAAGATGAAGTTGGTTAAAAAGAAACCATTTACATTGCAAGGCTCTCCAGATACGGTGATGCATTTCCTGATGTGACTTTGGAAAATGAAGCGCTGGTAACACGCTGAGTGTTAATGGTGCAGGCGACGTGCAAGGAAGCTGAACTCGCCTTTTTATTTATTAGTGAGTGTCTGTAGTGCAATAATGTTCAATAACTGAACACTGAAATAAATGTCTTGGTAGTTTGTCAACCCTGAGATGTGCATGAAGCATCGTTACCATAATTGGCCTGTATGTAGATGCAAACTTTCTCTGTTGAATTCTTTCGGTTTTAATAAACTAGTTTCCAACTTGTTTTAAAATGAAGGTGGGGGGAGCATATTATACTTGGTACATGCTTAATACTGATGTACTGATGATCAGTGTTAAAACAGATTCAAAGTGAACTACAAAGTGAATTGCTCAAACTTGTGACATATGCAGAAAATGTATCAGCTTAAACTTTAAAAAACAAAACAAAACCATAAAGCTTGTTATCATTTCAGTTTTCAGACCAATGTTTGGAACAAGAATTATTCTTCTGTTTAGGGCTGTGATTTATAGGAGCTTTGCCGGAAACTAGCCAGGATAGCATAGCAGGTTAGTTATATTTAAAAGTGCCTTATTGTAAGGTATTGTTTGTTTGCTCTGTAATACACACTTTTATCCATAAAATCATAAAATAAATGGCAGAATAATTTTTTTTTCCCCTCAGCAAATCTCGTAAGTAGCAGTTTTATGGTATAAGAAGGATAAGTAAAGCTAGCCAGAGATTTATCAAATGTTTCAAATTATAAAATGTCTTTATATGAAATCATGAATCTAAAAAGCAAGAACTTCTTTTTTTCTAGAATTGTGGGAATTATTTTATGGTATTTTTCACAATAAAGATATTTATGATGACAAGAAAGCACTGCTGTGTATCTGCCCTTCTTTGCTCACCCTGCTCTCCAGGTGTGGAGTTAGGCTGCCCGAGTGCCAGCAGGCAGGGGAGAGGAGGGGGAGGAGTCAGGTTCTGTGTTAATAGAAACTCGAATGTTTAGAAGTCAACTACTGGAACTGTAGAAACCCTATCGAATGCCAGTTTCACAGTGAGAACCACCACCCTTTGGAATAATCTCCGCAAGGATGTGGAGGGACATTAGGCTTTTCCTGACAGAGTGCTGGGCCATCCTGTCTGGACTGTGCTTTTGCCAAGGAAGGCTGGACCAGATGATCCTGGAGGTCCCTTCCAACCTGGTATCCTGTGGTTCTGTGATGTCTCAGTGTGAAGGCAAGTACTTGATTCAGGGAAAAGGGTAGAAAGAACCTTACTGAGAAATACGCTCAGTACTAAAGCTCTGGCTCATCAGCAGCACTGCACTAATGTCTGGTTCATTCATTTTCTGCTAAACTTACAGGCTGATATCAAGAAGATTAAGACCTAGAAAAGACACTGGAATAGCAGTACGGATAGAAATTGTAAAACCCCTTCATCTGAACAGTTCAAATACTACTTTGCTTATTTAATAATTCAAACCATGTGGCAACACTCCAGTAATCCAGGATGCATTTTCTTCCCCCCCCCTCCCAGGGCAGAGCATGCAGCTTGGAAACAGCAAATAAGCTCGCTCTGCCTCTCTTTAAGTTCTCACCTTGCAGCAGGTTCCTGGTTGCTGTTGCTTCCCTGCAAAAACACTGTTAGTAGATCCAAAGCAAAGAAATTGCAGCAAGTCCTTAAATGCCTTCAATCTACATAAAAAGTTTTTAATGGTTATTGTACAATACAAAAATGGAGAACAGAAAATAATGATTTTTTTTTTTCGTCCAGTGGCACCTTTTAATATTTTGTACATCATGAACAATCCATCGGTTTGGTAATAAAAATACATGTTAATGACTCAAAGTGCTGCTTTAAGGAGATCTTTAACAAGTAGTGAATATACTGGTGGGACCCTTCTTGTTCTATAAACCAACGTATATCTCAAAAAAAGAGCTTTCTTTGAAAGTAGGATTATGCAGGAAAAAAATACTGTAAAAAATTTTTTACAAATATATAAAAAACTGCAGGAAATTGCACGAAACCTTTTACATCTTCAAAATACCTCCAGCAAATTGCGTTTCTAAAAATTATATTCTAATCACTTAAGTAATCTCAAGGAAATAGTATTTAAACAGCTATTTCTTTTTTTAAAAGCCTGTAGAAGTGATCCAATTTAAAAAAAGAACAGGATGTTACAGAAAAACTGAACACAAAATCAGTGCATAAACCATCCACTTCTTATATTGCAAAACAGAAATTTCCCACACAGATACTCAGAAGTAAGGTTTCTTAAAAGAACCTTTAACTTCTGGCTTAAAACAAGCTTTCCAATGTATGCTTCAAGCACGAGAGACCAGGGCAGAGGGATGTGAAATGCTGCTGCAGAGTAAGGCATCAGGATGGAAGGATAAGCTTCAAAAAAAGGTAAAAAAAAAAAATAACACAGCAAGCAGTTGAATAATGTTTTGGTTTTTTTCCCTCTAATATGGAGTATCAGTTATTTCCTCCTTATGCATGGAATTTATAGTAATGGTGCACATGCATCGGCTAAGTCAGCTGTAAGTTCCATCTCTGTGGTATAAAAATACCAACCTAAAGTTTACGTTCAAATATGTCTGACTTGCTGCCGGACACCCTGAAGTAATTATGTTAGAGAACAAGCATAACATCCCAAGTACTGCACTGAAATGGGACAGTTAAAGGGAACCGACATGAGGGTTTACTGACTACTGCTAGTGGGTCACACAGGAAATGCTCCATTGGGTGCTTCGTACAAAGAAAATCCCACAACAGATACTTGAAAAAAATGTATGTTAAAACTTCAAAATGCATAAAGGTAAAACAACAAAAAATATATAAAAAGCTGTAAAAATAAAACAAACCTGCACGTCTCATATTCTTAGTAATAGGAATCAAAAAATACCAGCAAGGCATAATTTTAAATACTGGCTCTTCCACTGTAAACAACCAACACCTGAGGACAATGACAGTACATACAAAATAGGCTTCATTTCTCCTATTGTTTATTCAGTTATTTGCTGGTATGGAAATACTATTGCAACTCACTGTAGATTCACCCACTTAGTGCAAATTACCTTGTTTTTCATAATTTCAAGTATTTAGACTAAAAGGCTGCATTAAGTTGCTCTTATAACAATTCGTGGTCTCATCGAGTCCAATTTTGAAACCAGCACAGCATAAACAGCAAAGTATGTATTTAAGGCACTACATTTCAGTTTAAAAGTCATAAATTCCTCCTTTTCAAATATGTGTATTGCAAGAACTCTTCCCTGCAATTTTTGTGGGATCCAAACGTCAGTAGCCCACTAAAGCAACGGTCTCGTGAGTACAGACTTAGAAAATTACAGGAGACACCACTGATAGTCAAAAATACTCACATATTTTATTATTTTATTTTCAGTCTTAAACAGGATGATGATAACCAAAACCAAGCAGAAACAGCTTTCAGGTACTGACCCTCTGATGCAACGTGTGCTGGCTGGAAAACCACCTTAACCAGACTCGTAATGGAATCTTATGACACACTATTTAAGTGACCAAAAGGAGCCTAAGAATCAAAAATTAGTTTTTAAAATTTGTAAGAGTGCAGCAATTCTGCATAATAAATGAAAAGTGTGATTCCTCGTTTTTAGCTTCCAAGTTGACTTATCTTTGTGTGGTCTGAATTACTGAAGTTATTTTTTATGCCTTATCTTTGCTACACTGGGACTCTTTCTTGTGACCATTTCTCCAGGGACAAAACTACAGCTATATAACCAAAATTCTTGATATTTGAACACATAAACTGGATGCATCCAATGTGCACAAAATACTTTTCATGTACATATTTAATGTGTGTGTCCTCCCACAGACTGACAGTGTATCTTTGAGAAGTTGAACACCTCTTTCTTCGTATTCTAAAATCCCCTGGGCAAAATGTAGTTTAAAGAAGAAAAAGAAAACCAACCTCCACACTAGTAAAAAAACCCCAAGTACCTGTGGATTTCTCGGTTTGGTATTGCATTTAAAATATTTTAAGTAACACTATAAGTTATAAAATATTTGACTTAACATTAAAGAATGTTGCAAATAGTGCCAATGTAACATTTGTAACTCCCATTCAGGCTTTTCCAGAGACTATTGAGTTGTCACCATTGTTGTTCGTGGGCTGTGCTAAAGTTCATCGTGCTTAAGAACTGTAACCAAAGAGAAAAAAAAATTATAAAAATGAGTTAGATAAAGACAGTTCTCTAAAATGTGAAGAAAGTCCTTTCCATCTGCTGCTAGTCAGTCGTGCAACATGAACTTCCTTTTTGGAGCCTTGCTAAAAGCTGACCATAAGCTTTCACGAAGAATAAAAACCATTTAGAATTCCTTACAAGGAAAAGTGAATTTGTTCCTTGACTCAAGACTTTTAAATAAATATCTGCTAAGTTTTTTCTTCAACCTCGAGGGCTGAGATCATCTTTTTTATTTTGTTTTCACATTACTCCAAGAAGTCTTACTAGAAGTTCTGTAAGTGAGTTTGTTGGGGGGGTTTCTGTGGTTTTGTTGTTGTTGTTGTTTGGATTTTTTTCTCAGGCTATTTAACAAACTCAGTTTAAAATGCATTAGTAAAAAAATAAACCAAAGTCTATTTGTAGACTAAACCACAATTTAGTCTGGTGCAAAAAGGCCCTGCATACATGAGCCTGGAGACAACTTAGTAGAGACTGAGTTACCTACTGCCCAACAGCCATGAGCTTTTAGGTTATCTAAGTGATGTCTAAGCTGATGTGCTTTATTTGATATTTGTGCCTCAAATGATGTGTGACAGCTGGTTGTGTTTGAGGTCCAAGAACAGGAAACCTTCTCTTAGATTCTGGCACGAAACAAAAGATTTTATTCTCTCAGTGGAACTCCTATGTAAAGAAGCATCACACATTAACCATCAAAACCCACACAATTTCTCTAAGAACAGGGAAAATTACACAAATAAAGGATTTATGCCTACTGACCCCAATCTTAATTTCAACTATATTAATATTTCATTTTTAAAAGCTAACAGATGAATATGCATGTAAGTTACCTTTTTGAAATAATGATGGATTTTTCTTCTCTTTTTCAATTTGCTGTATTAACTTCCGTATCTCAGAGTCGTACTCAACCCATTCAGGAACTATCCGGGCAGCAGCCTCTAATTTTGGTTCTTTGGTTTGGGGATTGTTGCACTGAAAGTTTAAAATATATATCAGATGTAAACAAAGCAAATGTGAAAATAACACCTCCTCAGAGAACTTAGCTCAAATCATTTTGTCAGCATTTGCAATGCCATTGAAACACGCAAGGTCAGTTAGGTGGACATTCTTATTATTAAAAAAATTACACTAAAATTGTAAATAAATCCTGTTCAAATAACTCAAAATATTTAATTGCAAATACTTTTCTTTCATGCTCCTGACTGTATGTACAGAGATGGCCAGCACAAGACTACTAAGATTTAGACAAAGTTACATGGGGAGATACAAGATGCACATTGGCACACTGAGGCTGAATCTGATAGGGAGTTTTAATTACATTTGTGATGCTTCCTCTAGTGTTGTCTAGAAAAATGTATTGACTACTTCCATAAAATAATATAAATGGAAATCTAAATGTCAAGTGATAAATGATAATGGGGACTGAAAGAAGGTGGGATGGCGTTTAATAATGAGAGAGGAAGATTTTCTATTCCCAAAGAAAGACACTTTATTCTTTCTAAACATGGATAGTCCCCTGAGCATTACACTTTTTAAGCTTTGCTTTATCTCCTGTTTATAGTGATGAAATAGACAAAGAAAGCATAATAATATTAAGTCCTATAATCATTGGGTTCTGGAGGAACCTTCTAGGCAGGGAGTGCAACAGCAGCACACAATGCCCAGAGAGTTAACAGTACTTCATCACAGCTCTAGAAACCTGGCTGAGTATGGAAAAATTATAAGAAAAATACATGTATGGGCATGAAAAGCCTCAATCTTGTCAGCAACACTTAATTTTTTGGTACAGTTTTCAGTTTTAATGTAAGAAATTTGGTACAGAGCAAGCAGGAGAGGAAAGGACTGAGTGTTCCAGAGCCTTCCATCAAGGCTGCCTTCATGACATGACATATATTTATCTCAAAAGCCACAGAAATCACAGCAAAGCTGTTAATCTATAAAACTAATTCAAGACTCACCAAGTCTATTGTTTTAGCCTTTTTCTTGGACTCATCATCACACCAGGTTTCACACCAAAGCCACTCCTGAGGGAGAGACTTAATGGCTACTTGATGAATCATATTGTTGGGAAGATCCTGTACAAATTTTATAAAATCATAAATTAGCACTGAATGTAACGTAACTGGTTATCAAGTTGGTTATTAGAAGTAGAATATCTTTGCCCATTACTCTTACATTTTCTTCTTATTCTTACATTTCCTTCTTAGTTCTTTTCCACCTAGTTCTTTTCAAAGTAGCTTCAAAACTTAGCCATGCTCATTTTGATGCCAATTCCACCTCTCATTTACCAAGAAATTTTTTCTTGTACTTATATCTCTCCTTAGCTTGATGTAACAATACTTCTGTCTGATACTCGTGGTTCAGATACTGCATGCCACGCTATAAATACTACTAAAGAGCAAAACTGAAACCATCTCTCCATTCCTTAAATTTGGAAAAAAAAAAATATCCCTCAAAAAGCATATAATGGAGGATTATGCCACTAGTCTAAATTTAGACGACTTCTAGGAAAATGGATTCCAGAAACATGAGCATGAGAAGGAAAAGCTATTAAATTGCTATTCTGGTTACCTACCTTACTTTACTTCTTTTTTTCCTAACCTGTACTATATAGTCAGGCACTCTCATCAAGAGAACTCCATTCTTGCTGAATGCAGGGAGCAGCCATTTACACATGAGAAAAACCCCAGGCAGTCATTCACTGGCCATAGTTAAAAATAACAGGTGTAATTGGTAGATCCATTTGTGAGCTCCCTCACATGTGCAACCCCTACATTATATTTTCAAATAAATGTCAGTACCGTGGTAAGTATTAGTCACATCTTATTTTGCCAATTCACGCTGCTAAATGTGACAGAATAAAACAGCACATATTGCTGCGTTATGAAAGACACATAATTTAATTCAAATATAGACATTCAAATGCAAGTATATTGGGAGCCAAGACATTAAACAGTGAAATGCTTTTATTCTTTGAAAAACTTAAATTCTACAAATTTTTGGAAGATTAAAAAATGGTTTCTCACCATCTCAATTTCAAAAGAAGAGAGACTGGTTTTTTGTTGTGCCTCTGACTTTCTAAATGAAATCACAATTCTTGAGCTACTACAATTCCTGAGTTGTGAATTTAGAAACTGATACATGGAGCAGAAAGTCAGCTGCTAGGACCAGGATTTAAAGTAAACAGAAAAAAAGAATGAATTAAAACAAGAAAACAAACAAACAAAAAAAACTAAACAAAATTACTGTATTTGAAGTCTATTTTTTATGGTGTGTAATCTTCCTCCCTAGGAGTTCTATACTCACTCTCCTTGGCATTTAAAATCCCAATTTTCCCTTCCATCTACTTCTCTTTTGTGGTTTATATTAGCATAATCTTAACTACCACCCATGAAGGCAGCAGTGCTGGCAGATCAGCAAAGAGCTGAGATTGCTGCTTCTTTGAGAAGAGCAGTGAGCACTCCAGTCAGGTATTTAAAATAAAAATAGTAATAAAAAAAATCAAAATGCATCCTTATTGGTAGATGAAAGCTCTCCAGGACTCAAATACATTGCACTGTGGGTTGTATTTCTAGGAATATTGCTGTCTTTTGTGTAAGTAGTAGCAATTAAGACGAAGTAGTTCCTATCAGTACAGTAAGAAACCAGATTAGTACAAAAATATTACTTTGAAATATTTTTCCAAGTAATTCTAATTCCTTTCTGCCAAGATTTAGCTACTTTAACATCTGCTCCTTAAGTGGCTTTTGATTTGATCCAAGAGTTTTTACTACAAGAGATATACGCCACCATGTATCAATGCTGTAACTGAAAATATAAGAATCTTAAAATAGGAAGAGACACGTTTTTAACATTTAGAGAACATTAGATAAGTCTAATTACTATTTCTGAAAATCAGCATTACAGTGGAAGCCCTGATCCCAGCTTCTGAATCTTTAAAGGTCTTTCTGAAAGACAACTTGCACATTTGGGTAAGACTGTGTTTGGAGAGCATACAGCTATATCCCATCAGGACTAAGTGTGATATAGGGGCACCAATTCATTCCATTGCCCACAAAGAGAGAAGTGAAATGTGAGTGTTGCTGTTATGTCAGTCTTTTGCTCTTAACAATTACAGCTAAAGGCTGCTCCAACTCCCTGCATCCAGTCTGCTGTGAGTTTTTAGTGTAGCTGTATTTCCACTTTTCTTTGTCCAGTTTTATAAGAACTGCTGGTTTCAATTTTTACTTTTATTTCTGGGGGGAAAAAAAAAAAAAAGGCAAGTGGCAGTAATGTCCTTACATAAGAGAGAGAAATTTGCTTGCAGAGCAGGGGGGTGGAAAGCAGGCACTGAGAGATGTGGGCTTTCCTACCGTGGGATCCCTTTGCTGCTACAGGCAGGTAAAACCTTTTGTCCTTCAGTAGTTGCACAAGGAAAATAAATAAAGCAGGGACAATCACACTTATGAAGCCTTCTGAAGTTCACCCAAAGTGAGATATAAATAAGAAGTACTATTGACTCAGGCAGAAATGTGATGAGTTGTTACTATCCATCTTCTACCAGAAGTTAAATAACTTCTACTACAGGAAAAAAACAATAAATTTAAGTACATTATGTTTACATGGGAACCACTTACAATGCTTGTGACTGCACCCTGAGGTACCTCATTTGGGTTTAAAAACTGTTGGAATTATATAAATAAAGACTACAGCCACCCCAGGGTGACAATGTACAGCAACCACCAGAGTGCCTTTGCAGTTAGCTTACAAAAAAAAATTAAATTTACCTTGATGAAAAGAAAAAAAAGAAGGAAAAGGAAAAAGCTCTTGCCAAATAAGAATATAATTACCATTATTAGAATAAAGGTGAACAGTTCTCTATGTTGGTTTTCCCCTCTTTTTTTGTCGTATTAAACAATTACTTAAAACAATATTCATTTAGTTTTCAGTTTTCTGAACTGTGCTCACATGCACACCTGAAAATGTTTTAAAACAGCAGTAAATGGCAAATAGTTTTGGAATTATATAACATACATGTTGAGATTCACAACAATTCCATGCAATTTGAGAAAGATAAAGAAAATAAACCCCAAATTGCTTAAAGCCATATATACCTGATCTAGATTTGACAGACTGTTTGGATCTTGACTAAGAGCCTGGTACTGGCCCCGAAGCCTGTCTCCAGCTGCAATCTTTCTGAACGTCTTCAGATCCACAACATATAAGGCACTAAAAGTTTAAAAAAAACAAAAAAGAATTAAGATTTGTGGAGTTTCACCGTCTTTTTGATAATATTAATAGAAGTAACTAAAATATGTTTCCATCATGAAAGAATATTTTTCTTAACTAAGTGGCTAAAGCTACAGTAGAAAAGTGAAATCAGTATGTCATCAGAATTCATGCCTTATTCATCTCTTGCTGAGAACGACTGGAGGTCATCTGGTTTTGAAAGCCTCAGTGATCAATATCAAGACCCAGATTTCAATCAAAAGCACACACTGCACAAAAACACGTTATCCTACCTGATATGGTATTTCCTTTTCCCAAGATGTGATGCCCAGTATCCCGATTTCCAGAAACGGTACCCATCCATTTCCTTACGGCTGTCACAGAAAGGTGTGTATCCATAGGGAGCTCCATTTAGATCTAAATCTCTGAGTTCTTTCAGGTCACTTCTCACAATCTAAATAAAAATATATATTTATTTCTACAATTTAATACTGTTTCTAAGGTATGCACATGAGGGTAGGTATTGCAGCAAGTTTCGCAAAGTTTTATTTTAATTAAAAAAAACAAACTGAGACACTACAACAGTGGAGTATAGATAAAATATTCCACTGGAAGATATTTACCAAATTATTCTTCAAGTTAAAAAGAAGTGTTTATTATCTTATTAACAGTGGCCATCTGTGTAATACATTTAATAAGTAAATTAAATAAACCAGGCAAAATATTTTTAATTCACAGATCAGTGTTTCTGGTTGACCAATACTAAAGTCCTTAATGAAGAAGCGTAACTTTTAAAATTTACTAAGCACGTCCCTTTTAGAGTATACTTCCTTCTTATTACATAACTTGGGTATTCCAAAATTATTTCATCATTTGAAAAATCTTTGCATCTAGTGATAAAGTACTTTAAAAAATAGGTTACAATGACATTTTACAAATGCCCTTTATTTACTGATCAATCCTTCTCCATCTAATTTATCAGTGGTAAAAAAAAAAAGTTTTAGCTATTTGGGTGTAGAGAGAAATCCTTACAGCAGTGAGGACAGACAACCAGAGTTACCAGATGGTGCATCCAGGTGAAACTGCAAAAAGCGGCAGTCTGCATTACTACACCTAAATTCAATTTATTCTCAAGCTTTGGAAAAGAACCAAAATATGTTAATATTTGTCCTGACGTTTTTAGCAACCTTGTGATAGACTTTTCAATGCCTCATCTGTTGGAGATAGCATTTTGTCTTTCAGTATACTATACAATATTCATTCCTGAGTGAAAGACTGCATATAAATTTGAAATAGAGACAGGATTAATCTTGACAAGTTTCAGCCATCCAGAAGTTGTTAAAATGGTCCAAACTAATCCCCTCTGACTCCTTGCACAGTGATGTCCCCTCACAATCAGTCCAGAGACTGAATCACTCCTATACACTTTCAGTGAAAGGCACATTTAAGATCACACACACCTCTCCAGGCACCTTTCTCTCTCCACAGACAATTTAGGACAACTCAGTACACTGGGACTCTTAATGTCCACATGACTAAAGACAAGTGAAATTACTGCACTTCACATTCTGCACCACCACTGGTTCTGTTCATACAGCTGCAACAATCTTACAAGACTGACGTCTGAATAAAATGGCCATAGGGGATGAAACTGCATCAATTTAAGCCCATATGAGTTCCTCATACGTTTATATACCATTATTTTTTCTTACCTGGTCAGCATCGACAAATATTATTTTATCCACAGCCAAAGGGAAAAGGACATCCAAGAAAAGAATTTTGTAGCCCCAGATAATTCTCTGTTTTTCTGTCTGTTGATAAAGCCAGCGGGGCCACTTGTACTGTACTAACTCGTAGTTGAAACCATACTTTTTAGCCATGTGAGGAATAACATCCTAGAAGAAAAACCAAAAAACTATTAGGTGCACATATATATGGCACACAGAAGGACCCAAAAGGAAAAAGTGAATGCTGCAAAACAGCTGTAGCTGTATTGGCCTTACTGACTACACAATTTATTACTTTGAAATGCTTCTTTAGTTTTAGCAGTATCCTCAGCTACACCAGTAGAAAAAGCACTTCATGCAAGCTTTTGGAGACTATCAGAAGAGAATAAATTATTATTATAATTTATTATTATTATTATTATTATTACTATTATATTTATTATTATTATAATTTATCACTGAGCTTTGCATTCCACAAGAGAAGAACCTTATATAGAACACTTTAAAACTAAATATTAATATTTAAAACTATTTAATCCACTCTGAAAATTTAATTTCAATTATATAATTACTCAATTGCAATTTTAAAAAAATTACTTAAAATTTTAAAGAAAAAAATTAATAAAAGAAAGACTTTTCTCCTACCTTAAATGTAGGGGAGAGGTAGTTTTTCAGAAACCAAAATTTAACTGGTGTTTTTGTATGACGTAGGACAGAAAGCATCATAATTCTGTGGAAATATAAGTCTATAATAAACAAACAAATACACACAGGTCATTAAATTTCAACTGCACTTAAGAAGTGTTAAACATTTCTAAGTAAAATTTTCTTTTACCCAACTTAAGCAGAATTTTTTTATCTATTTCTAATTAAAAGCTTTAAAGAGCATGTGTTCAACACTGTTTTGCGATGGACTTTTTTGATCCAGATTGGCTAAGCAGCAGTAGAAGGAGCAATTTCAAAAGTGAATCTACTAACAAGTTTTATTCTCAGAAAAAGCCTGACAAAATTAGAGTAATGATTAATACTTTATATTAATTCATGTAATCATATGTGCACACAGTAACCCCATAGTTTGGACTAAATACAAATAGATACAATTCTAAATAAAAGATTATGAAGTTATTTCTGTTACATCTTTATACAGAGAACTTGAACTTCATCTTTTATGTCTGTACTTCACACATGAAAGACATGGAGAATATTCTTCTGTCTTCAAAGAATAATGGTACTTTTGAACATCTGTATGTTGAATCACTTTGTTCTTAAACAAAGAGTAATTTAGTCCTCATTGTATACAACCTTTCAAGTACTGATAATTTATTACTTTTGTTTTGTTTAAAAAGTCAGTTTCCTTAAGCTGCTTAATGCTAGTATGAAAATTTAGTGTATTGCAAAGAAATTATTGTTTCCCTTTTACCTTTCCTTACCTTAAAAAACGTTCATATAAATGCCCTGATGCAACAGAGAAAATGTTAAGAATGTCACTTTTCTTTTCACTTTCTTCTGTTGGAATTCCTTCTGAAAATCTAAGAATTATTATAAATTACTATATAAAGTAACCATTCAGCAGAAAAAAATATACTAAATTATCATTAAGCTCATAAAGAATCAAAAGTAAGAAAATACACAAAGGAAATACTCATCATATAGTAACCAAATACACTCCCACTGCACATGCCTATGATACCAAAATCTTTTGGGAGCAATACCTCATACGCAGTCACTCAGGACAAACAATGGCACAACTGCAGCCTCCAGTATTTTCAGTGAACCAGAACTCATATTTGACAAGAACTCCACATTTATCAAGGTAAAAATAATTAGAAATACACGCAGACATATCATCTTGAGAACTGGTAGATTTTAAATTCAAACCCAGTTATTTTCCATTCCTCATCCACATGCATTCAACATCAGAACAGCTAATCCATACTCTTGAGGTGAAGAATGCCTGCACAGCCCTCGTAGGTGGCTGAGCTGAATATATTCCCTAAAATACAGACTGAACATAATACAAAGACGGTCACACCAGGCCAAATCACACATTCAACTCACTACCATCCCAACAGCAAATGGCAAGTCTGAGGAGTAGTAACCTTTCCCAGAATACCCTCATAACATTCAGTGGTGATAGGATTTCCTGAGTGGTTTTCATAATACTTGCTGAATTCTTCTTTAAATTAATCCAATTACTCTCCCTATAAGCTACCCTATATCTTTGAGGTACATTGTCCAGAGGTTTTCTATTTCTGCTGCACAGCATTTTTTGCTTGTTTTGAATAACAAAGTCTACCAGGATTGGTTTTTCACCATGTATGCCTTCCGGCACACACAGCCAGGGCATAGTGGCTGCAGTCTCCCTCAAGCACTGCTTTACTGATCTCAGAACTGCAAAGGCTGCCTTCGCCAAATTGGTTACAGTATGGCTTGATATTGTTGGAAATTCACTTCAGTTGTCTTTTGGGTTTTTTTGAGGTAATTCTTCACACACTTATGATTGCATGACTCACTCCTGTTAGCTTTTCTTCTGCTTACATCCCTTTTTAAAGTATCCTTTAGAAAGTAAAGAAGAAGTGTCCCTCATAATCTTTAAGAACAAATGAGACAAGTCTCAGATCTCCAACATATTCAAAAGAGTTCACATCACTCCACTAATACAAAGCTGAAATCCTAGAAGGCTGCAATATAAGTCGTGTGAATGATCTTTTCGAGAAAGATTATTCACATTCTTTTCACTCAGCCATGGTAAGAGCACAGTTGTACCTGTGCAGGACTATAGCAAATGCAGAAGAAAAGCAGTGGAGCAGCGCTGACTGCCCTGTATGGCATCTCTAAAGATGACAACCTCCCAACTAGCACTGACCTTTCACAGGCTAAACAGACTGCAATTCACAGTCCCAAACCGTCAGTTTTCTTTCTTCTTGACTTTTTGTCTTGTTTCCTATCGTAGTGATAGCAGGACTAAAAGACTCTCAAGCTCTTTATAATGCAACCATCATGTGAAAAAAAAATAAAATCAGGTTTTCATAAAAGGATCTTGAAAATATTGATTATGAAAAGATTTACAAAATAGCAGAGATCTTCCAGATTGAACAAGCTGCTGGACTGACCTGTAAGGTCACATGGGAAAAGCAGTCAATTGGGAAAGGGCTGCTCACTTATAAAAGGGCTTGAGCAATGGTATGCATGTGTCCCATGTCAGAGCACATGTGAATTCCTCTAATGAGTAATGTGCTGGTGATATTCTTTTCATTCTGGGATAACAAAGAGGAAGTTCCTAAATAGCAAGAGGCTGACAGAAACAGCAGGCTTCACATCATGCCCTTGAGCCACAACTTTGAATCAATGGGAAGAAGAAATAAACTTTATTGAATGAGGGGCTTCAATTGCCCAGCTAAGCTCTGAGCCTGATGCACACTGATGAACCAACCAGCTGTGGTAAAAGGCAAGACCTGAAAGACTGAGAGATCTCTGGCCTTCACAGAGGAAGCTAAGATTTTGATCACCGCACACACATCCTTTGATGCAGCCAATTAGAAGTGGGAAGCTCGAAGATGATGAAAAATTCCTTTATCTAATATCCTTCTGAAAAGGGACACCTCTGTGCAGAAATGTGGGTCCACTTGTTTGACCTGTGACTTCACGAAGAAATTTTTGATAGTTTTAGTATAGTAGTCTGGGAGGGTTCCTGAGTCTAGTCAATATGTGTACAAATTGAAAGAGGGGAAATTTAGGTTAGGTATTAGGAAGAAATTCTTTACTGTGAGGGTGATGAGATCCTGCAACAGGTTGCCCATGGAGATTGTGGATGCCCCAACCTGGTAGTGTTCAAAGTCATGTTGGATAAATCCTTGAGCCACCTGATCCAGTGTAAGGCATCCTTGCACATGGGATCTTTAGGGCTCCCTCCTACCCTTACCATTCTATGATTCTATGATACTGTAGGAGTAAAATCATCTGTGGATAAATGGTGATAAACATAACATCAGCAACAGAGACTCAATATAATGTCCAAGTACTTGCGGTACAAGAGGCCTTGTCAGAAGAGATGATAAAGCTGAAAGAGAACCCAGTCCTGGATCTACCAAGAGATATGTGTTAGAGGATTAACTGGGGTCAACTTTTTACTAGATAAAGTAGAACTGCTATGCCTTCTATTTATTTTCATTAACAGTCTGTGTCTGAGAACTACTGCCAAAGCTCCTGAAAATGGAAGAAAACCTTTTCTGAGTCTTGCTCAAAACAGCAAATTAGAAATACTACGATGTTATTAGCCCCAAATGTAAAGCTTGAGATGTTTATTGCAAGTATTTATAGAATTCAGACTTATAAAGAGACTTCTTGAGATTTCATAAATAATGCTTAGTAGCAGACAAGCACCACTGGCCTGCTTTTTGATGCTCATTTTCACATATCTGAGTACCACATAACTGGCTGGGATTTTCACTTTGACATTGATTCCTTACTCTAAGAAAATGAAAAGCCAATGGGGGAAATGAACAGGAATTAGAAATACAAAGGAAGGATTAAAAAAGGCAGTAAGGAGATGTACAAGACATTGTAGCTTTTCTTTCCCCTCCATATATTTATTATTATATATACCTTGGAGAGCCTTTTTACATATTTGTATCACTATCAAGTAAGAAGCCCTTACCTGATGTGAGTAATAATAAACACATGCTGGAACATTAAACTAGAAGCAAATTATGCATTACCTTGTAAGTGATTCCAGATTTCCATATTTTCCTGTTGTTCCATCTGTAAGGAGATCTTCATTTATTTTATCAGGCTTTTTCTGTACCTAGTCAATAAAATAAATGTATTTGTGTAGTTTGGAAAGTTGGTTGATAGTAATTACTACTTCAACTGTGATATCTAACTATGGTGTACTAACTGGCTAGAACTAGACCAACATCTGGACCAACTTCTATTTCAGTAAAATACTTACTGAACTGCATTGAACTGAACAGTAAAAAAGTAATTTTATACTTTTAAACTACGCAGAGAACTTGCTATAATAAGAATAAATAATTTAATAAAAATTAAAGGTGATTAATAATCAAACAGTTTGTTCAAGTCCTCTGTACTTCATGCAAACACCAACAAGTGTGGGGAATTCTATCTCAATTTTTACACTCATGAGTTTGTGATCCAGCCATGAGTTGGCAGAAGTGTAGCAGGTTGTTGCACCACACAGTGGAACTTACCTGAAGGGAAATTGTCATTCTCATAAGCCCTTCACAAGGAGAAAGTGACAAATTTGTCACTGAAACATAAGCTCTCCCACACAACTTAAGCAATTTTTGCTGTCTTATCCAGATGCGCATAAGGCTCCAAATCAATTTCATTAGCTACTTTAATTTCCTTGATTAAAATAAACCTAATTGCTTTTGAAAACCAAATAGCTTCTAAAACCCTCAATGTCTGAACATACTGAGTTCTAATTATATTAATTTCACATGATCACACTGTCAAGCCAACGCTTACAGATTTCTGTTCACGCTACGTGACGAGTCTTTTTTGCTAATGGTCCTGAAGCCCCATCCTACACATCACTGAAGTGATTCTGCATTTCAGCTGAATGACAGACCTTACATATTCTAGCTATGAGCTTAATACATGCCACCTCTCACATCAAGTAATTTTCGTATTTTGACCAAAATGGCACCCTTTTATCCTTTTTCTGAGGCAGGCTCATCGTGTTCCAGAGTTTTACACATTTTCTCTGGGTTCTGGAAACTTTCAGTTACAGGACTGGGGAAGAGACACAAGTCTGTGGTTTTAAAAATTCCTCTTGTACTTCTATTTACCTTGTTTGCTTTCCTTCACAATGTCTAAAATTAGGATACAACGTACCAAGGAAATCAACACAAAAATGTTATTTACGAAACAGAGGAAAACATATAATACTATGAGATTCTTTCTCCTGAATATAACTCGTGCTTAAATAGCTCTTTTTGATACAGCTTTAAGAACGGAAGTAACATAATTTCATTTACTCAAATTTGGTAGCTTTGGGTAAAATTCAACACTCCTCATTTTAACTTCCACTTCGGTATCTGGACTTTGTATAAAATCCCTCTTCAGTCACAGAAGAGAAATGAGTGTCTCAAGAGGTGGTCATCTTGCTGATTTAAACACATATATGAGCTGGGATTAGTAGACCTTTGGACTCTCTCTCATTCTGCTACGCAGAGGGAATTTAAGTCATCTAGATTTGAACACCTTGAGCTAGATGAGATAAATCTTATCTATGTTTAACTGCTATTTAACAATCTCCCATGCAATTAGTATAACCTGATTGGATCAAATTAACTACATTAATTTGCACATCCTTCTCTTTAATTATACAAAATCTAAATTATATATTTTAGTATACACCTTTCAATTAAATATAGCCTAAGACATGTAAGCATAAGCCACATTTCATATAAGGAAACACTGCATACATACTTGAACTTTGATAATTTTGCTTCTGAAGTTGTTTAATACCACAGTAACATCTGTCAGGTCAGCTACAGAATCTGTTCCTTCATGGCTGTGAGGAGAAAAAGAACCCATGCAAATGTACTGTCTCATTAAAACATGCATTCTTACTTGTGTTTAATTAGACTCTAAGGTTTAGAATTGTTATTTATGGAAACAAAATTTCTTCATTTTCACCTAACTGTATTTTAACTTCATAAACTTTCAGAGTTTTAAGCATCCCTCGACATTGTCCACAGTGGTAGCTCTCACTTTGTAATCTGGATTTTCACAGGGAATTTTATCAATCAACGAAAAATTGCAGCAACTTAGAGCTGAATGTATTTTGTATTAAAATGAGTATATCTTACATTCAAACACTGAACTAAAATTTATTTTTAAAATATGGAAAATATCTTAGAAATTGCTGTGCAAAGGCATTAAAGGTACTTTTAAAATAAACCTGCTTTGAAAAGTATAGGGAAAGCTTCATCACAGTGCTGAGATAGCAAAGATTAACTTTCAACTGATTGGCTTTGGAAACTGTACCCCTAAAGACATGGCTGTGCAAGCACCTCATGAACACACGCCCCACTGAACATCAGCTTAAAGCCATTCAGACATCTCAAAACTGTACTGCAGTCCACTGAGTAACAAGTATAAAAATGGGGCTGTCAGTCTGCGATAGAGTAAAATAATTCTCAATTTTTTGTGCTTTTATACCTCAATAGCCCATATATTTTTCCTTCAATCTTTTCTGTCTTTTACGTGGTTTCCTCTTGCTAAGGCTATGCACACAAAAAAATGGGTTTAAGGAGGTAATCTGCTACCCCTTAGGCATCATTTTGCCCCCTAGAAAACAGAAGTATTTAAATCTTGTTTCAATCTGTTTCATACCCTTTACAAGGGGGTATGAAACAGACAAGATTTTATACAGTTACACGAATTTTCTATTTAATACATTTTTGTACAGTGTGCTATGATCACCTAGTTTTATGGAAATGGCCTATTCTTGCATAAAACAATGTTCAGGATTATCTTGACTTTTTTACTCTGATTTAGATATATGTTCACACTTCTAAAATATTGTATTTATGCACAGTCAACAATGGCCTTTTTATCACAGGGACATAAAGTAGTCAACAGGCACAGATCTGTATTTTAAATAAACTGTGCCATTAAAAAGCTTTAAAATAGTAAAACTAGATCCAAACAAAAACTGCCCAGTGCTCCCATTTTTTGCCCTCAGTTTTTACACAACCAAAATTTTCTCTCTTATTCACTCAGTTACCTCAAAATCTCTATGTTATGAATTCTGTAGGTAGCTCTGCAGCTCTGATGAGAAAGATGATTTTCCAAAGTGTTTACAATATTCTCGAAGTGTTTGGTTTGGATGTAAATTTCACAACACTGTTTTGTCTCCCTAAATCTCTTTTGTGGATCCCTCACTGTGGGCTCCATCTTTACCGAGTGCCAACTGTTTCACTCTGCACAGCCCTCAGTTTGATGAATTTCTGTCAGTATGAACAACCTTTTTAAAGGCAAGCAAAATGTCTCGTATACTGGCAGCACTATAACATATGTAACAAAAACTACTTTATTGGAATATAATTGCTGTACAAAGCTAAACTCCTCTAGCAGACTACTTATGTCACAACTTTAACGTATCAAAACACTTAATGTGCTTTCCATATAAACACAAGTAAGTATCAATATAATATAAATTATAATTTTCCATATGGGGAACAAAAGCATTTAAGTTCAACAAATGGATACCGTTAAAGAAACAAACGGAAAAACTCCTTGGCCAAATTATAAAAGATATAACTTTCAGCTAGGCAGTCTGCATCAAAATCTAATAAATTACACCTACCTGCCATTTTAAAAAATGAAGTTTTCAGCAGGATTGTATATATATATATATATATATATATATCTCTTTATTTTCTGGAGCCTTCTCTTGTAATACCTGCTTGTTTTCCCACCAACTTCACAGAATCAAAGTTCCAATAATAAGCAGTGCTCAGACTATTGCTGAGTACAGTAACTTTCATTTTCCTAATATTTAGAGTAATGTATTATTAAGTGTGACTGCTTCAAAATAATGATCCTTGTTGGAAGCAGCATTCGAAAAAACAGGCAGCTTTTTCAAACACTGTGTATTTACATTAAGTAAAAATAAATTACTTGCATGTCTATTAGATGCAACTACAGGAGAAGCAAATAAGTATTGAGATGTAGAAAGTGCTGTAACTTCAAATTCCTGTATTTCTTCTTAAGCTGCTATTATAATGTACGAGCCTGTGACTCAAAGAAAACATCTCACAGTTCAACAGGAGAGGACATGACTAATATATAAGGATGGAAAATATACTGCAATACCTCTTTGCAAAATTCCATCCTATCAAATAGTTGCCTGAGTTCTGACAGCAATTTCATACTAATAATACTGATACCTGTAAAAGAAATGCCAAAGATCCTGGTACAGCCACCCAAACATACTTTTGCAGTTGTACCCTAAGCATGTAATTATTACATAGCATGTAATAATTAAATTAAATAAATACTACTGTTTAGATTCCTTATTAAGTATTAGTTTTCCTGACTTGGCTGAGCTCAATTAAGCCCATTTGTATATTTTCTTAGGGAAAATCAGTAACCTTACAAAACAGTAGATGATATAACTTTCCTTTGATCCAGCCTAAAATGTAGAATGCTTTTGTCTCATTTTGTTAAATTTTTTAATTCAATTCAACCTCATTACATTATTTTTTTAACCATGCTATCTTATATAAATCACTTTTTTATATCTTAAGAATTGAATGCTAAATTAGACAAACAATATAGCCACAGTGGGTGGAGATTAAGTTAACTTCTTAGGGTAAAGACTGTGCTTTTCTGCTTTTTCAACAGACTGTGAGTGGTTTCTGGGAAAAAAAAAAAAAAAAAAAAAAAAGGAAAATTGTAACATTCCATTAAGATGTCTTCCTGTAACACTGAAATCGCTTTATAAACTATTCAAACCACAAAGAGGTTAATGGAGCTTTTGAATTTTTTTAATAGTAGCTGATGAATAACAACATATGGAACTATGTATTCCTGAGCTCCAAGTAATAAGAAATATTTCATAAGAGATAGGCTTGTTTCAGGTCACAGAATTACACTGAAGCAGAAGAGAGATAAGGGGAAAAAAAGGAAAAAAAAGAAGGAAGAATTGAATTTGAAATAAAACAATACTGCTCCTCTAGAAGGGATTTGATCTAAAGCTTCAAGAGGAAGCCCTCATATGCTACAGATCCATGCTGTTACATAAAACATGAGAAAAAGATGATTCTTCCGTGGAATAGTTGGAATGATGGCTAGCATATCTTCCTTTATATGAAAATCAACCATGGAAATTACAGATTTAGAAGCCACAGAGATGCCAACTAAATGTCAGTTGGAGGAGTACAACTTTCTTTCCATATACAGAGGTTTCTCCCAAGAGAGGGAAATGTGGTGCAGTCAACATGCAGCCAGCCTCTCAAACTGAACGGTGCCTCTGTATTCTAAGGTGAAGGTGTAACCACAATGATTCTTAGATGACTTCAACAGCTAAGAAATACTCAAAATTAATTGAAGAAAAAAAGTCTAGAAACAAATATAATGATCCTATATACAAAAAAAGAAGTCCCCTATCAATAACTCTACATTTCAGGACTGAAAAAAAATGATAAGAGGGAAATTTATGGTACTTCCTCCAGCTGATAAAGACACTGCTGGAGCACTAGCACTGATGCACTTGACATATTCCTGGAATTACATGTTCAATATGTTGGGAATGTCAAAATATTAATCAACAAAACCATGAGTGACATTTCTACAGAATTTGGTGTGAACAGTTAGATAATGCTAACCATGCAGGGAACTAACAGAGCAAGTGTCTGGGAGCTGTGTAACTGTATAGTAAAGAGATCTCGCTCGCATCCAGTCCAGCTGAACAGTTTAGGCTTATTATGCATTAACATATTCAAATGCCTTCAAAAACACATCAAGCCATCAAATAACAACTTATAGTATCAGGAAATAAGGTATCTCTTACAAACTTTAAATTGTCGTTTGCGTCTTGTTCTTTTCTGTGATGCTGTTTTTGCTCAATTTCCTTCAGTATTGTCAGATCTTTTCAAAATATGTTGCACTTTCAGGTTCATTTATAAGCGTGTTTCCAAATAAAGGACTAATACTTACGAAAACACCTGATAAATCTCTTCAGATCTTCCTTTACGCAACCTCAGCGTCCAAGCACCTGGATTTGCTTTCAGCTGAAAATAACCCTGTGAAAAAACAACAGGCACTTCTTTTGTCTGCATTTCAGACTCAACCATCTACATACACAAAAATCAATTATCCAACATTTATACTAGCCCTAAAAGAAATGTGTCAGTGATGCAACCAACTATCAGCTTTCCTGCATGTCCAGAATAACGTTTTTCAGTGCTCCATTCATTTCTAACTGAATTTGACTTGTATACAAAAACTCCATCAAGGACAGCAAGTGAGTGAGCAGTAAAAAAAAATAAATTACTGAACTGACCCTAAATTGAAAACCTTCTTTGAAACTTAAATTTTTTGTCCTGAACAACTTTCTGTGTCAACACAGCTCCTTCTCATTTTAGGAACACTGCAAAGAGCTATCACTGCGTGAAAGTCAGATGCAGCAAGCTTTGAAATGTGAGGAATCATTAAAAAGTTTCATCACGCCAAACATCATCTACTGTTGAAACCATATTCAGTATTTGTGTAAAAATCAAAGATTCACAGTTTATTAAGTATTTTATTTCTTGTGATATAGTATTTACAGAGAACAGAGAATAGCAGATAGGTAAGAAGTCTTATTCATCAAAATTCTTCCCTATCAAATTACCTTAGCCAATAGAAAACAAATCTTTCACTTCAGAAATCACAAGGTCTTCTGCTCTACAGACTGCCAAACTGGAAAATAATTACTTTGCATGATGAGAGGAATTCTGAAGTGTGGATATGTCCCATACAGGCTCTAAGCACTTACCTGAAGGGTCTAAAATAGGAGCCTTCTTTTTCCAGGGATCATCGTGTAACAAAACTGCTTATTTTAACCAGAATGTGAATCATACCTTACATTTGTTCGTGGAATCTCCATCTGAATATATTCTTATCTGAATATAACTACCTCCTACTATCTACTAAAGGTAATTAGGCTCCCAGTTTAGGCACTTCAGGTTAGAGCCCAAAATTAGGCCACAGCCAAACCTATACTAGATAAGAAGAGAAGCAGGAGGAAAGTTCAGCAAATTAAAGATGGTCTCAACTCCAGGATGTGCCTGTTACTTTTAGCACTACTAAGCTTGCAACACAGAGAAATGGATTTAAAGAACAAGATGCTTGTAAAGAATTCTCACACAGTGTGCAATTGCAATGACTATTCCTGTACTTAACACTTACGAGGTTGGCCATCACAATAGTATCAACCATGACGGGATTTTTCTTTGTGCCCAGAGTAAACTGTAACCCTCGAGGAGGTTGTCCAGTTGTCACATCAAAGCAATGCCCTTCAAGTAATATATATTCCAGTTCATATTCTGCTATAACCGGCCCTTTTACCTGTGGAAGGAACATTTTATCATTCCATTATGTCATTTAACCATGTGGGAAAAAGCAACATATTACAGGGACAAACACGTTGCATGGGATTTACCCCAACTTAATTCAAGAGTCAAAAAAACCCAGAAAGGTCCTTCCATAAGGAACTTCACCCAATTATAAAACAGGTGTCCAAGATTAGGAAGAAGGATCACTGTCTGGAGGTACCTTCTCTCCACTGACTGTTGAGAAAGCTGAGGCATCTCTGCTTTGGTAAGGTAAATCCCAACTTTTATTTTCACAATACGCCTTCCAAATACACAGCTCTGGTCAACCAAACACCCTCAATATCTTGCATAAGCTTACTGACTGAAACAAATCTAGTGACTTTGAAGATGAGGGATTAAAATATAATTAGAAAGTAATTAAAAGAACTGTGAACTAAAAGAGGGTCAAATACATTTTAACCTGCAATAATGAACAGTCATATATTCAGGTTTATTTGAAGATTTACCTAGTTTAATCCTATTACTACCAAAAATATATATAAAAATAAAGGAAGCCAACAAGGAATCCTTTAATTGCTTTACTTATTTTTGTAAACATAAAGCTTAACATAGCAGGTAAATTGCCGTGACTTGTACTCTGCATTCTGAATTTTTCTGTTTCATTGTTTTCTTTTAAGACTTGACTTTTTTTTTTTTTGTTTGTTTTTTGTTTTTTTTAAGTAAGGGAAAATGAAAAAAAGACCATGACAATAGAAATGGTAAAATACTGACTAAATAATCAACTACCAAAGAAATATTTCTGGAGAAAGACACAAAACACAAATCTCATAGTATTTCCATTTCTCTCTTGAAGTAGAAGGTCCAGCACAAGTTTTATAGTGTTTACAGACTTACCTCCTGTAAATGAATGTTATCGAGATCACAGGAACTGTTTACTGCTTCAACCAACCAGCTTTCTGGAGTGATCATGTTTAGAGTCAAAAGAGGTGATTCTGGCAATTCTAGGAATTTTGCAACAGGTTCAGAAGGAAGGTGTTTGTTAATCCCATAAGTTAATTCTGGTTCCAGAACAAACCGATAGAAGCTGTTGAAAAAGAAGTGTTAGGAAAAATATTTTTACTAGAGCACAATGTTCCAAACACGAAGTTCTTCTAAAATACTTTAAAATATAGGGAATGTTTACCAAATTAATGAAGTTTAGAAGCACAGTAGTTCCCTATGCTCTTGGAATACTATCAGACAATACCAACAGCAACTCAAATGGGCTGGTAGATGAGCACAGATCTATTTGCTTTTGTTAATTTTTTGCTGTGGAAGTGCATATTTCCCATTAACATTCTAAAGGCTGTGAAGGTGAATACCCAAGAAGTGCATCTACACATCTTGACTGTGAACTGTCTCCTATTTTCAGAACCTGTATCACTGAACTAAGCAGAGGAATTAATCTCTATTAGAAGAAAAGAGCCTTTCAGAACTGCTCCTGACACTAGCAGGAGCAAAGACAGAAAAGAGGAAAGGCAATGGTCTTTCTATTTCTCTCCACTTCTTCACCTCATTTATTCCACAGTTGGAGGTTCTCCCAACCACGGTAAAAGACCCAGGCACTACCACCTGCTAAGTGCCCAGCTTTAAAAGTGATCATGACAATGTTTGCACAACTTACTCAGAAGACTGATGATTCAGACACACTTCAGTCTAAGAGATGTGACTAATTCCTCTCAAATTGAGTAGAAACTAAGGACATTTCTCCTAGAGGGAAAGGAATCCTCCCTGGGGAATCTATTTCAGTGTAAATGTCTATCACTGAATTAGTGAACTTTGTTCTCTATAGAGAATTAAAAGAAACTTCAATTTATGTCAGTACTTTCAGGGTCTAATATTCTTTCTGAAATATAGTGAGATCTCAAATGCAGACTGTACATTTATTCAGATGAATTTCATTATTAAGTGTACTGAATCTGCAAAATTCATTACACAGACAGTGGGCTGTAAAAAGTGACCAAGTTAGGCAGATAATCTTCGTCTACAAGTTTTTACAGACATAAAAGACTCTCTACTGATTTCTCTGAGTTCTGTTCATGAGAGGTGCATTTGATGGACTGGATCACTTCCCTGTGATCCCATGCTTGACACCTTAGAACAAGAATTTCTCTCTAGACAAATGCAAACTGCTAAGGTAACATTCAACGAAAAAAGAATCCAGAAACACAGAGTAATGTTATTTTTTTTAAGGGAATATACACTGTTAAGGCTGTTTTTCCAAACTGAGCAAGATCATAGAAGAAAAGCTATAAACTACTTACCTCTTCAGTGGCAGTTCTGACAGCTTAGATTTGCAATTCAAAAATAACCTCAGTTTCATATTGATAACGTCCTTGAGTACCTACAGAAAAAAAAAAAATCTCTTTAAGAAATGGTTCTTGGTAATCACCAAACCTTGAAAAGAAGCCAAAGTCATCCTTGTGACATCCTGTAATTTCTCAAGTTTCAGTAGAAATCTCAAACTTTTTAACATTCTAAATATATCTGTCTATTAAAGGATGTTGTCAGATATTCCAAATAAAGATATGACCTTTTCTAAAACTGCATGATTTAGCACATGCTATTCTTGATAGTCAAAACGTTAATGTCTTCTCCTAATCATACTGTTTTTTGAAGAGCAGCTGTCCCCATTTTCCAATACTTGAGTAAATATTATCACCGTTCTTACATTGTGTTTTCTAGAAGATTTTAAAACACTTGAAGTTCTCTAAGTAAACACATACCTTTTATTCAATAACTTGTCTTAAAACAATTACTTTCACTCTTATTAAAATAGTTGTATACAGAAAATTGCTGAATACAGAGTTATTTTAATTATTAGTTACTTAATAACCTTAAAAGTCAACAATACATTAACAATTTATTAAACCATTCAATCAACTTCAAAAATTTCAGGAAGTTAATATATTTCTACTTTTTTTTTTTGGAGCTTTTTCATCTGTTTATTTCTAAAATACTAACGTTCTGGATGCTGTTACATAGGAACAATATTAGGACAAGAGCCTTTTCTTATTTTTATGAGCAATCTGTTCTGTTTAAAGCTAACAATGTCATTAATTTATTTGAAGCACTGAAAAAAACCTTTATCAAGTTATCTTCATTTCTTTAGTTTCTGATACAGAGTTCTTATCTGGAATTATAAAGCATCTGTGTCTACATTTATGGATATTATTAGAATAGAAAGTAAGATATAAAAGCTAAGTTAAAATATGGATACCACTGGGGCTAAAATCGAAAATTATAAGGGCAAATAAATTGGGAACAAAGCAAGACAATGGTCATTGTTAAATTTCTCCTTTATTATAACTGTATTTTTTCTTTCCTCAGTTCAACCCATGGCTTACACACATTCTTTACTACAATGCTGTAACTTTACATAGCCCTAGGGACCTGTTCTATTCCTAGTTCCTCATTCTCATCCTTTGTGTCACCTGAATACCATCACTGGAAAACTACTGAACAAAAATTAAAGGCTAGGGAACGAGTGAAGAAGCAAAAAACGGGAACTCAACATCACTTGGAAGCATAAGAAGGGAAAGTATTACATGACGGAAGTTTAAGACTATTAAAATAGAGATCCAAGTGACTTAAATATCTATCATTAAGAATAAAAAGCATGATATAAATGAACTGGACTTTACCTTCAAACAACACAAAAACCTCATCCCGTTAGCAAGAACATTTCAGCAATCTGCATTGATAGGCTGTTATGCGTAGAATGAAATGATCTTACAAAAGGTTGAGGTATCGTCCTAATTAATTTCAAAGTAATTTGAATAGAAAATGACAAATAAGACAATAATGCATAATTTCTGTGTTTTTCAACAATGCAGCTTCTGGAATACTGAATTTGGTTCTGTTATTTATGTCTTATGAGGACACCAAAAGCCAGGACATTAAAGTCAATGCATGAAAATAGTTACAAGATTGGAAAGCCTCTTACAGCATATTTGAAGAGTTCAGTCTATTTACTTTAAATCAGAAAATTCAAAGAAGAGCATGTAAATTTAGTTAACAGAGCATTTAATGCCGTAAAAAGTGGCTGAATTATTTCAGTTTACTAGGCCTGAAAATAATTTAAGAGCAAGTTCTATTGTGCATATGCAGTCACTTTGCAAAACACTTAAGTTACCACAACTCATCTGAAGAGCATTAACTCCATAAACCATGATTATTCAACCAATCATGTGGAATTGTTTATGAATGTCACCATAATACAAAGCATCTACACTGAAAACAAACTCTTACAATAGAATCTTCAACAGAACGGGCAAAATAATGAGAAGATAAATGCTTATAGCATGGATCTAAACAAAAATCCGTAATGCCAAGTCCAAGTTTAACAGTCAGGTTACTTACCCACTGGAAAAGCTCAGTAGGAGCTCTAATCTGCACTCAACCACTTGACATAATATTTAAATTAGGAATTGATTAAGAAATTATTTCTACTTCAAATACAAATTGATAAAAAGAAGTCCTATGACCCAAGTTATATAGGAAATGAAATTGTATTATCAAAAGAGGCTCCTTCCAGGATTCCTTTTAGATTAGGGATTAAAATTAGAGTTTCCCTCTGAGGATAGAATGAATAAAGGAAAAAGGCAAAAGATAACTGACAGAAAAAAAAAAAGAAAATATTTGATTTTTTTCTCCACATTTTTAAATTACTGGATACCTACTGGAACAAGAAAAAAAAAAGGGCAGACGATCCTAGAAGTATGTATAATAATTTTTCAGCTGGTTTTGGTGAACTATGAGGAAAAAAACAACACAATTCTTTGATTCTGTCCTCCATTTTAGCAGAAGGAATTTCCATTTTTTTTTTCACATCACCTTAGAGATCACCTTCCTAACTTCAGGACTAATTAGCCATTCCATATATTCTGCTAGGAACTTATGGGTTCCAACCAAGTTATGGCAGGTATTTAAATATTTACTCTAGACAGTGACTGTGCCTTGTCTGGAAATACTTGATGCTGAAGGCTGTAACAAAACTTTTGAAAAAGGGAAAACACGTTATATGGAGAGTGCTACCTGACTCACTCTGGAGAGGATACAGAGCAGTTCTTATGGTACAACACAGTATATATTTTAAAAACAGACAGAAGCCTTTACTCAGCTCTCATTCATGCTCTGACTTATACCTTGCCTCCACCCTTAAATTGCCAGATTCTCAGACGAAGCAGTAAAGTTTAGATTACGGTTTATCTATACTTAGACCCTTCTCAATTTCAATTCCCCTTAATCTGAGTAACTTTTTGTTGATATTTAAAAAAAAAAAACATACAAAATATTTCTCTGTTGAAAGTGACACAAAGTAATATAATAGCATGGTTTCACCAGGGTAAGAAAAAAAAAAAAATCATGATATGGACATATTCAATGCAGACTGGGCAAGAATCACGTGTTTTGCCATGGTAGTTACTACACAGATTTTGCATCATGAATGGTTACCAAAACAATATACTTGGCACTAATCCAATTATATTACTCAAAAGAAGAACCTTTAAATATAAATACATTAAGGTGCTTAAAGTTTACATTATTTAAGTCACCTATGTATACAGCAAGATAATCAGAAAGGCATCCATGTAAGAACTTGGAATTTGGGGCTTGCTGTATACGTGTGCCTGTTTTGTCGCTACACCAGGACATGGTGGCTTTCCAGATAATTACATATATTTTTAATATATATCTTTAAAATACAAAAATATAAATAATTTTAAATATAAATTTAAAATATAAAAATTTAATAAAAATATTATTAAAAAGTATAATCTACATTTAAAAAGTTCTGATTTGTTTACTTTCAACAGCATTTTTTTATTCTCTCCTAAGGGTTGGCTTCTTGAATAAAACCATAGCTCCTGTGAATCGAGTAGGATCTGGCACAGCTGAACAGCTTGGTTCACCAGGGGAGGCATTTGCCCAGGCATGCATGAGGGAACCTGTTGTGCCAGGAGGAATGGAAGCTTCTGGTCTGAACTGCAATGTTCTTGACGTGATTTATACTCCTAATACGAACTTCTGGCTAAATGGAGAGTTTCCAGTCAACTTCAACATCTAAGTATTTTCATTTGGTAATACCAACCTTTCATTTCAACTGAGAATGGTGAAATGAAAGATCTCGTTCTAGAGAAAAGCTGGCATTTCAGTGCCTTGAAATATCAGAATTTTCACGAATTTTAAAAAATGTTTTACTTTGCCTCCCTATTATATATGAAGAGTGAGTGGATGCTTCAACATTTGATAGAAAAGAGTATGAAAATGAGAGGGGAAAAAGCAATGCAGGAATTTACAAAACTTGCATAATTACTGCAGAAAAAAGAAGATAAAGGGGGATGCCCCAAAAATCAAGTTACAGGCTTCAGAATTGTAGCAGACCATAAAGTGGAGACAAAATTTGCATTTTTATGGGAAACTATAAAGGAACCTGAGGCAGAGTGATATTCTGCAGTAGGTGAAAAAGAAAATCATTTTAGCAGCTATGTTTTTAGGACCTTTTCTCTTCAGAAGATCAATAACTACACACAATGGAAGACTATCTAGATATACTTGGTAGCATTAATCAACTGAGAAATACTCCTCCAAGAGCTGAAAGGTTTATAGTCCAATCCTCTTATAATGATATTACAGGTCAAATTTAGACCACCTCAATTGGGTACCTTGGAAAACTAAGGTGATCTGGTTTAATAGAATGAAGCATACGCCTTTTAAGATTTTGAGATGGGAGATTCTATTCCTCTACATTATGTAGACAATCTCCTCCTTTCCTTCTATTGACTATAAAGAGCACTTATGGACTCACTTTTAAGAGGACTGGTGCATGGGGGGTATCAACTTTACTTGCAAATAAGGTACTCACAATGATGAATGAGGTCACCCCCAACATTTTTATATGAATTAAAATAACTTCTCACATATTTAAAAGAAAAAAAAATTGTTTAGACTCTTATTATACTGTACATGGAAATTAGAACAAGTTTAGTAAAAATTACGCTACAAATATTTAAATGAAAATAAATTACCACCATCTTACAATCAGTAAATGAGACATCTTCTGTGCTTCTCTTGTCAATGGATCCACAATAGCAACAACATCATAGAATGGTTCATTCTGTTGGGGGTTGACTTTTACTACACTGTTAAAAAAGTATTAAAAATTAGTGACATGAAAACTCTAAATTGAATTTGTGGAAATGACAAAAATTTTTAGGCATGAATTTGTAATATCAGAAGCACTTCAGACTTTACTATTCAAGTAGACATTTCCCTCATTTCAAGCAGTAATCATGATTGCTCTCTGTGATATCACTGGAGAAGCTAAACGTGAACAGAAATTAAAAATTTAGCATTAATCTACATAATTCTGCACTTTTTATTGATTAGATACATTCCCCACAACAAAATTAATACAATAAACCACAGTAAAACTTGAAAAAAATGGCCTTTTTGTCACTCATCTACAGTTTCCTTCACCAAGATCTAGAACCATGAGATAAGTGCTGGCAGTGCTACAATTTAGAAAAAAAAAAAAGAAACAAGCAGCTGGAAAAAATGGCAACTGAGAAGCGTGAAACTTGACAGGATGGATTAGCTTTATGCATTCCAGAAAATAATTTCATTTGATAAACCTGATTAGACTAAGTCAGGGAGACCCTACCTAAAGTACTCGAGATCTACAGGAAGGAAATGTTAGTAATCCTCACTTTAAAACGAAAAAAAAACAGTGTGCCGTAAATACACCAAAGGGACTCTCTGAATTTGTTTTCCACAAAAGGTATGGCAGCAGCACGGTACTGACTGTTACTAGTCATTAACTAACTTTGACAAAGGTGTTAGCCTCTTAAAACAGGCTACTACTGATTTTACTCCTATTTTCAAAAACAGCCCAACAGCCCACACCAGCACAGCACACTGGAGCACCTTTACCAGTAAAACAACTAGGGATTCTAAAATAACATTTCAAAAATCTTTAGTTTGATCACAGGTCTTATGTTACCACACGTCCTTTTAAAAAATGTACCTGTCTGCTCCAATAAGCTTGCCCCAGCTAAGCTTAATTTAAAACCAACTACTACTGTTAGTATCCCATTACAGAGGGGACAGGATTCACAGATGCTCATCTTGGTACTTCAGGTCTCATTCATCAACAATAACAACAAAAGGTGACAGGGCGTATTCACTTTCTAAATTCAGGATTCCAAACACAAGGAGCCAACACACAAGTAAGGACACTAAAGACACATGAGCTCCCCAGGTCTAAATCTGCTGGCTGATGACAGTCGGTTCGCTTTTCCGTAAGGAATTGAGCTGCCAGTGAGCCTTATTATTTTGCATTTTAGTGTAATCTAGTTGTATTAGCTGTGGTCAAGAATGACACTGCTAAGCCATAAACTGTTATCCAGGTATAAGCACATGTATATCAGCCAAGATCCACAGACATAAAAAGCTGTGCTAATTTTCCACATTACAAAAATCAGTGGGGGTTTCTTTTAGTTCTAATCTATGAAACTCCGTCTAACATTTTAGTAAATGTATTGAGTCCAAGGTTTCTAACTCCAGATCAGCAACTTCTATTCCCATTAATTTTAACCACTCTTTTTTCAGCAAAGGATAAGACTGGAAAATCATTAGGTATTACTAGTTAATCTATTAAGAAAGAGGTAAAAGTACATTAGGCTATGGCAGATGAACAGGTTGTTCATCCAACCACAGAACCAACAACTTCTTTTGAAATGGGAATGCTTACTCAAGTTTATAGAGACTTCATGTAGTCATCAGTACATTCTAATTTTAATATGAAAGTACTGTAAATGCATTATCATGACAGACAGAACTTACCTGTGCTGCTCTTTAAGTAATTCAGCATCCTGTCTCGTCTCTGTTTTAGGCAAAGATGACAGAAGGGCATCTATTTTCATAACCAAATCACTGCCACTATATTAAATAAACCACATACAGTTTCATTTTTATCAGAAAAGGAGGAAAACATTTAAATTTTAATGTCTGTCTGCATAATATTTAGGAAGCCTATATCCCAAACCTGGACTCTTTAAAGGAATTATCGCCTCAGTATTTGCAGCTCTGAGGAGTAAAACCTTTAGCATGACAATGCCCAAGAACCACTACAGCCTTAGAGCTTGTGAACTGCACACTTCTTAATTTTAAATGATGTCAAATTCGCAGAATTTTAATTCAGCTGCACAGTTGTGATGTTACAATCTGCTGACATTTATGACTCTTTATTCCTTTTTTTTTTTTCATTTCAGTGTCACTAAGTCACAATATTTGTCTGAATGTTTTGCCTCCCACTACTTATCTCCTGTATATCTAACTCTTGCTGATTTTGTTTTTCTGGTAGTGTGCCAGTCCTTCCAGATAACAGAAATGATACTCACACCTGGAAAGCCAACAGATATTGTAAAAATAATATAATTTTGCTCTCTTCTTTGTACACAAACTGGATCCTTAGACTAAAAGATGCCTAGAACTCATCTCTACACTTCAATGAACTGATGTGTGAATGTTGTCTAGCAGAGTGTCAGGGCACTACGTCTGCCCACACCTCTACAACAGGCTCCTTTCCTAACAATTCCCAAAGACAACGCACTTTATGACTTCAAATATTAATACTCAGATATTACTGTGGGTTTAAGATGCACTGTATTTTATCAAGCTCATTATTATTTTTTACAATTACTCTTACGTAAACAAAAGCTAGTAGGAGTTGTTTACAGTTATCTGCACTCTTGGTTCTAAGTACAGTGAAAGTAGAGAAAGTATTTGGAGTAATTTAGCAGAGCTGCACGTGTGATATGACGCGAGTTGGAGAGGATGTGCTTTTTGAACACACGGGGATCTTTTATGCCTTAACCTCATCACACATATGTGCAATGACAGAAGAGTGCACTTCTCTTGAGTTACACAGGGTGCCTTTCATTCTGCTCTGTGCTGCAACAATGAGGTGACAAAGAGGCTCTCAGCAGCACGATGACCAGGCAGTTGAAGCCGAAAATACACTGTTTATATATATATATATAGTGGAAAACTATGTTAAACAGCATAATTAGCCAAGCATAAAGGTGATACAAAATTGTAACAGGTGTGTAATTTCTTCTGGAAAACAGGGCAAGGGCTGGAGTAGATAAGTATACTAAGTCTGTCAGGGAAAGGCTAAAGAGGCGATGAAGGACAGACAAACCTGCCTACACACAAGTACTCAAATGCTAAGTAAGAAGATAGCAAATATACAGCACTCAAACATCAAACACTTTAGGTGCATGTAGAGTGTATATATATAGTATGAAGAGTACTATGACTACATATTTGAACCTTTGTTCATATTTCCCCATGCAAAAAGATGATTAATTCGTCACAGGCAACAAACAAGACAGTACATCATAAAGCCTCAAAATGCAAGAGAATTTTACCTTTTACTACTGTTTCCCATCTCTTTGACAAGAGCTTTAATCTTCTCCGCTGAGGTACTGTATGTTACCTTTTCTAACAAATCAAAGTCTTCTGCAGAGAATTCATTTTCATCTAAAGGACCCAATACCTTAGATAGAGCAAAAAATGTTACTAAGTGTAGAATGTCGCAATCCTGTTCCATTTGTAAGTAAAAATACATTAATATTTTAAATGAATGCACGATACCAATGTGCAACCACGACCCCCATACACTTCAATATCAGTAACTATAAAACACTAAACTTTACAGTAACCTTGCAGAATTAGGTTTTTACCGTTATGTTATTACAGTTAACTATCAATCGCAAAGAATACTTGCAGTCAAAATATCCACGCTATCTTTCATTATATATCCCTCTGTAAAGGAATACACTACTTAGAAATAACAACTCTGAGTTTATGAAGAAGCTCTGTTAGGTACATTAATTTAAACTCAAATTACTATTCTGTCTACCACACTCTTTAGTTATTTAATTCTGTGAGCACAATCTTAACTTCCCAAGGCTTTCTATTCATTCTAAGCAGAATGAACAGAAAGGAAGAGCAAAGGATAAGAGATGCAGAATTAGAGACAAGATATGGAACTACTACATTATTTTGGTGCCTGAAGGAAAAGAAGGTGCCTTGAAGTTCCAGAAAATAGCTTTGAGGATGCTGTTTGGATTTTCTACTCAAAGTCCACCAACCTAAATGGACCCGAGTCAGCTTACAGGGTGCCAAGGATGTAGAATGTCATGATGTAAGTTTGGTGTTGAATGCCCCTCTCCCAAAATTCAGTTGCTTCCTAAGAGGTTATGTAACCTCTCTCTAGTTATTTCACTTTTGACTGTTTATTAGTATTAATGATGCATGAGATAGATGAAACCACAGTGTGATTATAAAATATCATGCTAATTTTGTAGAAGTTATAATTAGAAAAAAATTTATTTTGCTCATAAAAACAAAACTAAAGTGCTGAAATAGCTAGGATAGAAGTGAAGGATATCCCAGATTATTTTTTTAAAAGTAATCTTTTAAGTGAAAACACACTTTCAGATGGATGAATATACATTATCAAATTTATCCAAGTATTTTTAGGAAACGTGTTTCCCCAAAACTTAAAATATGACATTATTTGAGCTTTTTAGGCACAGAGAACAGTAATAATAATTTATAAAATAACACTGCATATTTAGCTATGGGGGAGTTTGACATCAAAAAAGCCAACAATTCTTCTGTGCTTCATCAACAGAAATGCTTTCTGTGTGTTTCTTAGAGGTATTTCAGTTGCATCTCAGAAGCATTTAGCATGCACAAAAGTAACTAAAGTCACAATTTCAAGACAGTTTCCAGTAAAGAGATGCCTGCATAATATCTCTTTCTTTCCAATGGTAGAGCAATAAATAGAAAATGGAAAAGAGTAAAGGAGTAGTCTGTATAGATTGTATTTGCAATGTAAGATACTGACTGTCATTTAACAAGTACTAAATATTGAATACAACATTTTATTTTTAAATCACAGTTCATCTACAGACACACTGTAATTAAGGCTATTGGTTCCAGAATATATATATATATAAGAAACAACAAAATTACTATACTTTTATTTGAATATTAAGAATTAAGACTATAAAACAACTAATATTTATAAAAAATGTGGTGTTTTAGAGCTTGAAATACTAATCTAGCCAATGTAATTTATATACATTTATTTATGTGGTATAATATAGGTATCTTCAGGATCAAAATTTATTCTTAAATATCATAAATAATAAATCAGATATTAAAGCATTTAGAGAATTTTTTCAGATTAAAACAGCTGTGGGAATTATATACATACACAGTAGCTTCAATGGAATAGAGCTGATGAAATAGGAGTAAAACAAACTAAAAAACCCCCAAAATAAACATTTATACCATTCTCTATCTACAGGCTGAATAAGTGGGAAATTATTATAATGCATTTTCTTTAGCCTGAAACTGAAATTCCAGGAAGTAAAAAATTCCTACAACAAGACTGAGAGATGAATTAATTTCTTTCTTACCCTGCCATTGCTCATAACAGCCATTTGCCCAGGAAGCAGTTTAAGAACCTCCTGGCAGAACATCTGGTGGGTTTTAATTAAATCCAGTCCTAAAGTGTTGTACTTCTTCTCAAAAGTATTGCCATCCATTCCCTAAAGCAAAGGTAAAGCACAAGATGGTGGAATGATTCAGCAAAAATAAATTTTGTAACAGATGAGGTAATCAAAGATTTTCTTTAAGTTATGTGGTAATGAGAAACCCAAGTAAAACAACCTCAACTTCAGTGCAAGTACACGGCTGTTGGTATGGAGCCAAGGTCTCACAATTAGTTAGGGTGCTGTTTTTACCCTGGGGCAACTCTGAATAACCATGACAGGAAAGCTGAGCCTGAGGGTAAGCACTTTTTCCACAATTCAGCACACAGCTGCGTGAAAAATAACATTTTCTGTTAACAACTGAACTGTATTCTCACTTACAGGAAAAAGATGTACAAAAAATCCATAATACCCCAAAAACCTAACAGTCGCTCTAGCGTTGCCACTGGATACAACTTCAATAAGTTTCGGGGAAGCCAACACCATCCAGTAAGACACGCAACAAATCCATGTTCAAAGTGGGAAAAAAAGTCAAAACTTACACTGGCACTGTACCTTCCTTACCTGTCAAAATTATCATGCTGTATTAAACTCTCCTGATATGTATTTCTTCACTAGTAATATGCAGACCAAGCACATAGATTCATTCAGATACAATTAAGGTATCAGAATAAAAAACCCCCCAAAAATTAGTAACATGCCTGCTTGATTAACTGCCTTTATGTCTTTCGGAATTTATTAAAGAAATACAAGCATGACTCAAAGCAACTAATTAATTTCCCAGTATGTTGCCAGAGAGTTCTCTTATTCTTGCGACACCTCCTATTTAAAATGCTACAATTTATGGCTCCTTCTGAAAGTTAGAAGCTGTTATTTGTAAACTAAGCTCCACTCTACATGAGAAATTTGAAACCAGCAACATATATATTTTAAACCAATGAATTTGCATAAAAACACAGCAGAAAATGTTGGCCAGAACTGTATAATGCTTGTTAATCACTTCCAGTCTGTGCCTATTACTGCTCACAACCACAGCAGCAGTAAAAAGTTACTTCTGAAGTCTTAATTCTTGAAAAACATTAATATTGTAATTTTTAACTGAAAACTATAAAAAAAAATTAACAATAAAAAATAAACTATTTTGGTCTCAATTATTCAGTATCTGTACTTGCTATTTTTCTGTATTCTTCCTTGACTTTAAATAAATCCTCTATTCTTCAACTGCATAAAAGTTGCCAAAAATCCAAATCTATTTGAACAGAAACTGTATAAGGGTTATAAACTTATTAACATCTGGCCAAACACTCTCAACCATGCCCCCTTACAATAAAATACATATAAAATGAAAAAGAAAGTAATCTAATTTAGTTTTTACTCACTGGGATGAGGAATTTAGTAATTTTAGTTCCAGCAGCAAGGGATTTTGCTGTCTCTTCCTTACTGAGTTTACTCAGGAAACTTTTTAAGTTGCTGTTATTTTGTGTTAAAAAAGCACTCAAAATTCCTCTTGCAATGGCTGTGTTAGATTCCTTTATTTTTGATGAAGGATTGTTCAAAATCCCAACTCGTGTATGTCTGCTTGTTTTCTGCAAAGAAAAATACAGAACAATAAGCCAATTTACAGTTCCATCTGCTGTTGTGCAGTGTATTCGTATTTCCGTGAAATGCATTTAAGTATTTAATTTTTTTGCAGCTATTTGTCTTCAGAAAAGTTACTTCAATGCCTAATGCATAACTTCAACTAGGAGTTTAAACATGATTAGTAAGGATTTACCTATTCTGTACTACATATTTTAAATAGAAGGGTTTTTTTAATAGAACAATTCCCTTTGAGCATTTTGCAGAAGCATATTTTTAACAAAGGACATACAGAAGCATTCATTTACAGACTTCAGAACTGGTTTTGTAGACATTTTTCTGTTTTTCAAAAACTATCAAACTAAGCATAAAATAAATGCAAGTAAATTTATCCACTTGCCACTTTAATCTTAACCAGCAGAAAAATCTTTCCCCTGCTAAAATCAGTGATGCCACTCAAATTTTACCAGAGAATGTGATGATTCTAAGGTGGGATCAAACAGCATCACTAACTAAAGAAAAGGTAAACAGACTTTACCGCAGCAAGGAATAAAAAAATTAAGTAGTGCAATCCCTGGTACTCAAGATACTAAACTTTAGCAAACTTTGAACTGCAGCCCTTGAGAAAAATTTTGCTCAAGCAGTTATGGACCCCCTAGTGCAGTAAAAGTTACTGAAATGTTGGAGAGGATTCAGCAAAGGGCTTTTAAGATGGTCAGAATACTACGAGGAAATACTAAAGAACCTGGGCTTGCTCAGTATGGCAAAGAGAAGGCTACAGGGGATTGATTCTAACAGCAACCAACTGCTACTGAAGGGGAATGAAAAACATGACAGGGCCAAACCCTTCTTGGTAGCAGCAGAGTATAACAAGGGGCAACAGTCACAAATTTTGGCCTGGCAGAAAAAAACTATACTAGGAAGGCAGTGCAACACCTGAGCAAATTGTAAAGGGAGGGGACAGAGTTGCCTCCTTGGAGATTTTCAGGAATTCTTCAGACACACCTACAGCTGACCTGACCTAATAAAGGCAATAATCCCACTCTGAGTGGAAGGTTGAACTGGATGACCTCTAGAGGTCTCTTCCAACCAAGACATGTCTAGCTTTTTTTTCAAATTAAGTAAAAATATATTAGTAGCTTTCAAAATATTACATTATTAGTTGGAATAGTTAAAAGTGAATTTCCTTAAGTCACTTTCCCACCCAGATTCTTGCACATTTTCTTCAAATGCTGATGGCAAGTCATGAGCAAGAGGTGTCTGTGCCAGGTCTGCAACTATCAGAAATTCTACTAGACCCTGACGTGACAGACAAAAGGGACTAGAAAGGAGAACCTCCATACAAATCAGTGGACTTCAAAAAAAATACTGGGTTTGGGTTTTTTGTCATGAAACTTGAAAATCATTAGACCAAGCAGTACAGGAGGTTTATGTGAATCAATCAATGAATTAGAATGAAGATGAACAGTTAAACTCCTGTTTCATTGAAGATTTGACAAACCTTATTCAGATGTTTTTTTCTAATAGTTTTTTTTTTCCTAGATTCTCCTCACTAACACATGGGGACTTGCCCAGGCAGTTGTCACCTCTTAGCTGGGAATACGGAATTTTTTCTCTGCTGAAGTGGCAGGCAGAAAACGAAACTACAGATGGAAGATGTGTCAAGCTTGGATCACTGATCTAGCAGTCAGAGAAATTAAATGTTTTTCTGTAACAAGAACTTGTACCAAATATTCCTCTTTCCGTTTTTTAAAGCCTCTCTCTAATACATACTTGTTATTGCACGCTCTCTGCAAGATACCAATTTTCTAATTCCCTTAGGGTGGTTCCTATTTCATTCCTGATTAGAAAATGTAGATGCTTTTCCAATTTCAGTTAAAGCACTCTCCTAACCTGACCTGAACTGAGAGTTTTTCATCATTTATATTCACGTGAGACATTGATACTTTATAAAGTATATTTATATATTTGTATTTTAGACATTTATACTTTAAATTCTATTATTAATACAGAAGAACTTAAAAGAAAAGCAAACTCATGAATGTGGATGGTCCTCCTAGCACATTAAAAACACACACAAAAATCAATCCTTCTTCGAAGCACACAAACAGTACATGAAAAAATGGTTGCTAGATGGCCACAGTTATGCCACATTACACAAACACTTTTAGTACACAGTGTCACAGTTTCTCTCCTGTGCCATGAGCCCATGAACCAACCAAATGATCATTTCTGGGGGGGAGGGAGGGGAGCAAACCAAAAAGCACAGTCTAACAAGTCTGTACCTGACCCACAAAAAAAATGTTGTTACACCTTCATGTAAAAGCATAATTTTTGAATGTGCAGAGTGCTGTTAAGAACATATTCACAATAATTCTTCTAATAAAACCTGCTTGAAACTTACCAGGCTTTTCAAGGCATTAGAAAGCAGTTGTCTACCAGATGGCTTATCAAAATCAGCAATAATCCAGATAGTAACAGCATATATTGCGTCTTCATCTGAAAATTAAAGATAATCCTGCTTTACTTTCTGGAGAATCGATCTTCTCACAACTAATGAATAATGAATTAATTCTGTTTGAGATTTTGAAATTTATGTGTATGTTTGCTGACTTCAACCGCAAGACTAATCTTTGCCACATCAGAATCTTTTGTTCTCTGAATTAAGATTCTTAGGAGGTAAATCACCATGTTAATAGGGGAAGGTCACCAAAAGAGCCAAGCCATTGTTGCAGCACTGAACCAAGTGGGTCCTAAATAATAAGCTAGCTCCAATTTACAAGACCTGCTTTACCAGAGGTTAAAGAAGAAGGTTCTGAAGATTGGATGGAGGTTGGTCATATAGTCAGAAATTAAAAGAATTAAGTAATTGCAAGAATGCATAAACTAGGTCAACCACTTTCTTTGGCAGCAGAGTCCTTCAACTAAATGCTGGAAAAAACTTACCATTTCTGGATACAAATGGGAATAATACTAAATACAGTCCAAAGAAAGTAAACTACTGTGTAAGTGTATTTGCAGAAAATTTCCCATTTTCCTGCTCTACAGTCTCCTGTTCTTTACTCGTCATAGAAGAGAAATGGTAGGTGAAAAAAATCTGCAAAATTATCTGTAGAAGAATATCAGTCTACCCAGGTCTATCATATATCCCCTAAAAGGTAATACATATAGACAGAAATTTTCCAAGGTTCTGGTGAGATTCTATGAAGAGGCTACTATTAACTGTTGCTGTGGTCTAGAGAAACACACTGGGGACAGAGACATGAAATGCAGATTCCAGTTTAAAGGTTATGGGCTTTACACAAGAGATCTCACTCTTACCAATAAGCCTAAAATTGAAAGCCAGTCACTTGACAGCTAGCTGGGATGTCCCTGTGGTTGAAGACACAGAATCAAATAGAGCCAAATAATTTTATTCTGAAGAACTATAAGTATTTGGCTTATATTTACTTCTGATAATGGAATAAGTAGAAACTCTGTAAATATAACATAAAAATCACTGAAAGAACAGCACTTTCTTAACAGGGTTATTCTGTCTCTTGATGGTCTGGTGAAGAGAAGTTGTTAACTGTTCAATCCTAGAAGTAAATAAGGTGAAATTCGATGCAGAAGTATGCCCCCTCTGTTGTAATTTCTTCTAACTCCAAGGGAATGTGCTTGCATATGCAGTAAGAATGTTTTACATTAAAAAATACTTCAAATGTACCAAAAAAATTGAGTTTTAATAAATATAAAATGTATAAATGAATGAATAATAATCATAGAATCAACTGGCTTGGAAGAGACCTCTGAGATCATCAAGTCCAATCCTTGATCCAACACTACTGTGGTTAATAGACCATGGCACTCAGTGCCACATCCAGTCTCATATCTTATAAACCTCCAGGGACAGTGAATCCACCACCTCCCTGGGCAGCCCATTCCAATGTTTGATTACTCTCTCCGTAAAAAATTTCTTCCTGACATCCAACCTAAACCTCCCCTGGCACAGCTTATCAGAATACATATTTTATTTCTTTTCTACAGAAAGACAAAGCTTCATAAAGCAAAATTAAACCATTTAGGCAAAAAATAACAAGATATTTATGCTAATAAATAAGATTTACAATCAGTTATTCCTGAAATTATAGAAATGCCTAATTTTGGTATAGTTATTACAAAGACTATACATTCTGCACTTGATAATGCTGCAACTAAGAGTCACTTGAAAACTGAATACCCTCTAATATCCTCAAGTAAAACCATATTAGTATGAAAACTGCATCTGTTTCCAAGGCTGAAAAGTCTTGCAAAGCTTTTAAACTTCATGTCTGTGAAACAAAAAGCAACTAGCCATGACATCCAGCCCATTTCAAAACTAAAAATTTGAAAATAGCTATCCTGTTAATTATAATCTATGCTTATAATATTAGGATGGGATCTGGCTCCTTAAAGAAGGTACTAAGATAATAGAAAATGTAGTTATTTACACGTGATCCTTGGGATACTGAGTTATTCAGGACATTTTACTGGCAAACTTCAACAATTTAACAATGTAATACCCCTATACAGATAGACAGATAACCCATACAGAAAACTAATATACCCTTTTTTGTTAAATACTTCAAGTTGTCTGAAATTACAGCACTTTTATCTTGTGAGTCCAAAAAGGAGAAAGTAGAGAAGTCTTCCGCATCAAATGGAACTGCAAAATGTAAAATGCAACATGTCAGATATAAAAAAAAAACCAAAAAAACCCCACAACAAAAAACCCATACCAACAGCCAATCTGAGAAAAGAAGTTACCGGATGTGGGTCTGAAATGTATGTATCTTCTTTCTGCTCCAAGAATAGTGGGGTTTATACGGGAAACTACGTTGTTCTGATCCATAAGAAAATCTATTGCATTCATGTGATCGTTTAGCAAACCCTGTAGTAAGAGAAAAAGATTACATCTGTACTTTTATAGTTCCAAGACAAAGATCAAGTATTTGTACAGTCTTTCAAATGAGCTTAAAGCTTCTATATACATCAAATTATGGACAATGTCAGGTCAAAGCCACATGAATTATATCACACAGATAGTGTTTCAAAATATCAGATGCACATTTTTCAATGAACAACTGCAGTATAGTCTCAGTTTCTGGTTGAGAAAATCCATATTGTTACTATATGCTTAGCTGATCCTTCAGTCTTGAATAATTTAAATGTACTGTTTCAAAGCCGTGACCGCAAATTAATGTAACAATGAAACTTCAGGTGTGATATTATTAATTCCAAGCCATCTCATTATAAAAAACTTAACAGATAAACATGACTCAAACAATTTACTGCCAAATATTTCATCTTGCCTTCATTCAGGAATGTTGAACATACCATGAACACTGCCCGCTGGAAGAACTTGGTGGCATCAATAATCCTCTGAAGAATAACTGTCTCTAACTCTTCAACATCCATCTCGTCTCTATTAAAGGGCACGCCATTAAACAGCACTTGAGGCAATGGGCCCAGGCCACTCTTTTTATAAAAGGTTGCTCCTGCCTGATCACATCAGAAATATCACAGGATTAAACAGACAGTGGCTGACTGTTGCAAAAAATGAAACTAATATCAAGAGAGGATGAACTCTAATCTCCATGCACTCTTCACTGTCACACCTTCTCATGAGTAGCAGGGACAAAGCAGGAAGCATTTGGAAAGCACGGAGGAACAGATGGGACTCATTTCTCAAACAGAATGACAAAAGAAATCATAGCTCCATATACAGTGTTTTAACCTTTTGCTTATCATCTTGCTGAGAAATATTCTTTTATTTTGCTTAACTTTCTTACAAAAAAAATTAAGCAACAACATCGGAGAAAAACCCTGAGAAAAAGTTTTTTATTTCCTGAAGAAAGTACCCTAAAACAACTCAAAAGGCTTTTTTGTTCATAAGTGAAGACTTATTTGATAAGAAAGCAGAACAAGCTAACTTTTCCTCAAAAACAGAAAATTCAGTGAGACAAACAGAAGTAAAGATGTATTGCAAGCAACTCTCCCTTCTTACATTCTGCATCCTTTCATGTTTTCTTGCAATATCTATGTGTTCATCTTTCTGTCACCCCACTGTCTCCTCCCTGGTCTTCATCACAGTCCCACTGTCCCCGCTTGTATAAGGGATTTCTTCCTGGTGGCTGACTATTTTTCTTCCTTTAATATTCTCTGTGGGAGACTTTTCTCTACTAACTGTACCCGCTTGTTTCCAGGGCAGATTCAAACTGCCCTTCCACAAAAAGCCTCCAGACTTCCTTCCAGAGAGGAACAAACAGCGTTTGGTTGTCCCAATACATCTTTTTAAAGAAATACAATATACATTAGATAACAAATTTTCAAAGGAAATAATTTAAATGGAGTCAGAAACACAAGATTGTAGGAACAGCATGGTTGAAGACACACAGAGGAAAAAGGTATTTAATGTATGTTTTAGCAGAAAATTATCTACTCAATTACAGATAAAAATGTCTTCTCTACAGTCTTTAAATAAAAATCCATAGCTGTCTTTCCCAAAGGATACTACAACCGGAAGGCACAACTGAAGAAAACAATGATCCACTTAGAAAACAGGTTTCAGTTCTTCATCCAGAGACACATACGATTTCTACAGCATGAGAGAGATCCCTTGACACGACTACTAAAAAAAATACTTGTGCTCCTGAATGCAGCAGGCAAGAGTAAATTTTCATAGTGAGATTAGAATGCTGCAGAAATCCTTGCAGCATTTCCATTAATGACTGAATGGTTGCCGAAGACAGTGACTCAAAGATGCTGTATCTACTTACTTTAACATTTAGCAATCCTTCAGCTTAGCAAACGCATTAAGTTGTACACTGCAGTACTACTTACCACTTGGCTCTCAACATACCTTCCTCCCTTCATCATGTTCAGAATGAACACCTAGTATACTCTGAACATCAGCACTGGGGTATTCACTTCTAAGGACATCTTTCACATCATCTACTGTTAGAACATTTCCATCTCTCACTTCATGGTACATCTGTAAAAATTATAACAGGAAATAATTTAAAAGATGTAGTGGATTGTCAAATGTAACTTGATAAAATTAATAAAAGTATATAAACAATGAAGTAAGTTTAATTTTTTATAATGCTGTAGCAAATTTTGTATCAGTATAATTTTATATTGCTGTATTGCAGTTTTTATATTGCTTTAGTAATTATCACCATTGCACATATGCACAATTTTACATCAGAGACCTGTTCTGATTAAAGTATTTTTATACCTTTAGTCTAAATCTGAAGAGGCAAAGGAAATACAGTTATGTGAGCTGAATGTGAAAGGTTATTTCTCTCCACTAATTACAGAAGCAATATGAGTTCTTTCAATAAACTACCTAATCATGGGTAGTTACCTGAATCTATATGGGATTATTCCAGGTCTAAATTAGTCAGTGATACTTTTTCCTACAGTAATAATCTTCCTCAGAAACGATATTTTACTTAATAGAATAATATTTTATTACTTTCATTAAACATACAATGGAAACTTGAAGTGAAAAATATTCAATCCACTTCTTTTCAAATGAGGAACAATATATTTCCCTCTACAGATCTGAGTATCTCAAACTTGTATTTTATTGATTATATTTTTGTTATCTTTTAATTATATTTATCATCCCCTCCTTTTTATATTATGAAACAAAGTAAAGAGAGGAACACATTTTAGAGGAACATTTTAAAAAGCACACTGTAAATTATATTTTGTGATCTGGTCATGGATAATTGTCACCCATGCATCCCAGCTCCCTAACATCTGTGGATTTCTCTTCCAAGGTATTCCTAGTTACTTCAGTTTCTTTCATCATAAATTCTCTAAGTTGATCTATGACACAAGTTTCTAGGCACTAAACAGAAAAATAGAAAATAAATGTGAGTAAAAATGCTATGCATTAATACCATATTCTCTGATACAATTTTTACCTGCAGAGCCTTTACATGGACTGCTCACTTTATTTTCCCCCATTCATCTCTCATCTCCGAAATTCCTGGCTCTACAAGAGCCTGCATTCTCTCACAAAGAAAGTCTGTCTCAAGCATTAAGCTGCAGGCCTGGAGCGTTTCTATGTTTTGTACACTCATGAACAGCTCAAGCATTATCAAAAAACCCCAAAGAAATTATCTTACTCTGTTTCACCTTCTACACTGGAGAAAAAACAAGCGTTTTACAAAGCTGATAGAACTACCAAAGCGACATTAAAATCCTTGTACTCCAAAAGATACAGAACACAAAGACAGGGTCACCGCATTAACACAAATAATAGAGAATAATTTTTCATAAGAAAATAATAAAATCTGCAAGGCATGTATGTACTTTTTTTATATTACTGAAGGCAGGCTGTTGATATGTAAAATGAAAAGAACAAGTTTATTTCTAGAGAAGGGAAGTATGTCTGCAAATAATAGAATATTAATGCTAAACATGTCTCTAATATTTCTGTATAAAGTAAATGCATACATCTCATGTTATCGTAAGGTAGTAAGATAATAAAATAAGGTAGCAAGATAAAAAAAATTAATAAATTTTTAAAAAAAGAAGAAAAAAGGTGATTTCTTGTGAAAGAACTAACCTTAATTATTGAGGTAAAGGCCTGAAAGGTGTCATATTCCTCTGCAATGTAATTAAAACTTCTCCAAAGAGCTATTCCAGCGTCTTCATTTCCATCAATTTCTTCTTTCGTATTTAAAATGAAAACAATTCCAATTCTATAAACAAACAAAAAGACATCATACATTTTAAACCAATGTCCACTTCACACACATTCTAATACAGAAGAATAAGATGTTTGCATTTAAGTAATCTGGCCAACACTTAGTGATGAAAACCCTGCACCTGGAGATGGCTGAACACCTGCCTGCCCAAGGGAAGTGGTGAATGAATTCCTTGTTTTGTTTTGTTTGTGTGCGTGGGTTTTGCTTTACCTGTTAGTGTTTATCCCAACTCACATGTTCTCTCACTTCTACTCTTACAATTCGCTACCCCATTTCACCAAGGGGCAGTGACCTAATGGCTCTGAGGGGTTTAACTGTAGGCTGGGGTAAAACCACAACATCCAGAAAGCCTGAAAGTCCAAGACAGTCACGTGAAGATCTAGTTTCTCAAGGGAACAATGACTTTTAGCAATGACACAATCTGGTCAAACAGACTGCAAACAGTGGCATAACGACTACAGCACAAAGTCTTTCCCAAACTAAACACCCAGGAGAGATAAAACTGAAGATATTTGAAGTTATATTCCCTGCCAAGAACACATAAGAATCCTTCTGGTCTCTACTACACTATTGGAAAGGAATTCTGATCATTACAGTCAATTCCACATCATATATGATATAGGAAAAGGACAAGAAACATCTTCTGGTGAGTCTCAAGTGATAGAGCACAGCTATGCCCATGGCTAGAACACAGAGATTGTGAAGAGAAGAAATGTCTATTCATGAATGTTGTTGTTAGCATTAAAAGATGATGGTTAAGAAAATGGATTCTGCCAGTCACCTAGAATTTTCTGAGTCCAAAGCCATCAGAACTCTTCTAAACATTTCCAAGCCTTTCACTCTCTGGCATCAATAAATTTTCTTAGAAGTGCAACCCCAGCATTTTAACATGAAACCTGCTTGTATAATGAGAGAGAGCAATGGGAAGGAGATGGTAAAAACCAGATACTTTTATGAGTCAGAAATAGAAATTTTATGGAAATAATTTGCTGCACTCTGGGGATCAACTTCACGTAGTTTCCCAGAACACATCCTTGAATCATCCTGAGCATCTGCAGCTAACGCTGTACATACTAGTTTTGCAGCAAAATCCTCTGCCTTTAGCTGTCACTTGTCCCAAAACAAATCTAACATGCCACCAAAAGGCTGCTCCATGAGAAATCCTTATGGAAGCAGTGATTCAACTTTTTTCTCCTCTACATTTACTTTCTAGCCAGCCTACAGGTAGAGATGTCTCCAGCTGCCAACCTGCAACCAAAACCATCTAATAATGTGCTAATTGGCTTACACAACCACAGCCACCTATGAACTACAGCTGTACAAGCTGCTGCCTACTCCTGACCACACATATGACAGCACTGGATAATGTCCCATATGCAACAGTTGGCTGAAAGATCAAAAATTACGCCAGCTATCTAAAAGAGGCAAACTGCAAGGAGGAACAAGAGAATTACAGTCTTTCTAAAGAACTATGACTTATGTCACCTGGATGCCATGGTAACAGTCAGCAAAACTAAATATCATATAACAAGACAGAGCCCATGACTTGTCTACATCTTGAATACTGTGTACATGGCTGCTGCTGCCATCTCAGAGAAGATATATTAACACTAAGAAAGTTTGGGGAGAGACAACTCAGAAAATAAAACAAACTTTGGAACAGCTTTCAGGAAAGGAATAACTTGTAACCTAGGGAATGAAATCAGTGCAGTTGAACCTAGCAGAGCTTTATAAAATCATGACACCTATAAAATCAAGGCACCCAGAGAGAGGGAGAGACTGCTTTGGTTCCTATTTATAAGAGTATACAGACAGTAAATGAAGCTACTAAAAGTCTGGCTCCTAACAAAGGAAGCAGTTTTTCATACGTCCCATAGCTCCAACTGTGAAACACCTGGAAAAGGATATCGGGGTGCTAAAACTTTACTGCAATTTGAGGGAAAACCAGAAAAGTTTGTGGAACAGAAACCCACTGAGGACAGCTAAGTATCCAGAAACTACATCTGGGTTCTAGAATTCTTTGATCTCTAAATGCCCGAATGCGAGGAAAACACTCAGGCAAAGAACCTGGTTCCACTATTCTATTTATCATACCAAGGCAATTCCTTGTGGCTTCTTGAAGACAGACTGACCAAAATGGGTCTTTACCCTGACCCAGTTTAGCTACATCACAAAAGGCAAATTATGTTCTAGGCTATATTCTCCTCAAGGACTGAAGGAGTATTGTCTCCCAGGTAGTGACAAAATGCACATATAACTAATATTTGTCCTGCATTATGCTTTTGTAATTGAAAAATAAAACATTAAAAAAAACCAAAACAATTATCAGAGACAGTAAAATTTTAATGAAAAAGGAAAACCGTGTAATTTATTGAGGAAATAAAAAGCATTTCACGAGAAGATTTTAAATA